ATATATATATTTATTTATATACATATTTGTATAATATTAAGGTCTTTTTCCAGTTTAAAAAAATGTTTAACAACAAAATGAAATCAGCGTTTAATAAGCGTTTTTAATGAAACATTAATCTTAGATTCATACAAGTTCATATAAATAGATGATATACTAATCTGACAGTGAAATCCCCCGTTATTATACGGGAAATATGAATTAAAAGTCCCCATCAATGCATTTCAAACTGATCATACATACATACATACATATGTATGTATGTACATTGATGCACAAACATTTCTTCATCTGAGTGGGACAAACGTACACAACAAAAACATGTACTCTCTCACATTTTAGTGAAGGGTATAAAAAAATATAAAAAACGAAAGTACAAATCTTTAAGTGGGGGGTCTGCTTTGCTTGGGGTCCCAAGTCCCTGCCGCCGCCTAACCGATCTCGTCTCAAATGAGTGGTTGGGGGTTGTAATCGTTTCTCATCTCATTTGCGCTTGCCTGCATGTAACGCACACATTCACTCTCTTTCTCTCTCTTGCTCTCCTTATCTCAAGCTCTTCAATCCATGCACATTACTTTTGAAGAGAGACATTCAGCAACTCATAAAACATCGTGTGAACAAAACTCAAGTGCATCCCCCCTCATGTGTAGCATGCATTAGCAACGTGTTGTTGTTCTATGTATATTGATTGCTGATAATTCTTCTTCTTGTTTACAGTCAATTGAACGAAAGGCGCTAAAGAAACCTAAACAAATGGGTTGAATTGAACGATGTGTGCCCGAAATACTCACACATTCAATGCACACAATACAACTAATTTCGGCAACTAATAGAATAACAATTGCTTTTTATTTGTACTTCTACTAAAAACATGTGTAAAATTTTTAAACTATTCATAATACAATTAATCAAGAGCCCAAATATATAAACAAAACTTATATCTTGTGTACTTAAGCACATTCTCCAGCTATGACATAATACTCCAGAGAATTTTAACCCTTTAATTGTAGAAATAAGTGTCTGGGATAAATTCTCGTAACATATACTCTGTGGTATACAAGTATAATAAAAACGTATAGGAATGAAATTTTCTTGTTGGTAAAAGTGCCATCTTCAATAAATGCAATGATGTCTTTAAAGACGCATTCCCAACTGAGAAAATTATTACCAACCATATGAATATCTAAGAACCCAGACTTTGCCTCTGACAGGAGGATCCACAATGTCAATTCTAGCCTTTGCTAGACTTTTGATATCTAAATTATTACTGTCATCAGTTGCAAGTCGGGTAATGAAAGGATCTCAAAATATGACGATAGAGTAAGCTTAAAGAATTGATGGTAAGCCAAAACAAAACTGGTGCGTCTATGGACAAATATATTGCTTGGTGGGTATTAAGCCTATTGTTAATCATAAGTATACACAATTTGTATAATTTACTATATCATCTAGTGGTACTTAGTGCCCAGCCACAAGAAAATAATCAGCGCAATTGAAAAAACATTGTCCTTTTTGGTAACAACGATTTTTTAAAAATGAATTTAGATCTGTTTAGTACCATCTTTGTGCTTAATTTTGGATGACATTTTTTAAAGCCAAAATATTGTATGGAAAATATTTAAATATCTCTTTTTTGACGATTTCATTTAGTGATATTTCTTAAGGTTTTACTATAGTGATATGCTTCAATTTATTCGAATTATCGACATTACCATTTAATGAAGTGATTAAATAATTTGGAATACTAAGAGACTGTGGAAACAGTTCTGCTAAATACACTCAAGAATAATAAATGAAAATTCTGTTTTTAGAAAACTTAAAATATTTCAAAATCCTGCTTCAAAATAATATTAAGAGTGCCTACAGAAAATTCACGTTATCACAGCTATATGAATGGATGACAATGCTAGAAGTTATGTTTTTATTGGAAGTGATGTCAGACCTAACACAGCACGATATGACGGGTTAAGAGCACACACATCGGATGCTGGCGAATATTCTTTTTGCAAATTTCAACGATAAGATAGACTGACTAGTGCCGCAGATAAGTGAACGTATGTATGTATGGTATGTAGTTAATCTGATTGTTAGACAGGCCAGCAAACAAGCTTCAAGATACTTTTGTAGCGCATCGCTGCAGCTGCTGGTTCTTGGTATGGCTTTTGTTCATAGCAAAATTATCTAACAGTAATTTTGATGTTGTGCCTCGTCCAAAGCAGAAAAAAATATGCTGCATTGATTATGTTGGACGTTTAACGCTACGTGGTTTGCTTATCTGAGCCACTTTACGGCCGTTGATAAATGTGCATGTTAGTGGCACGAAATCAGCCTCTGTGCCAATCCACATGGGGTGGAGAGGCCTCATATGGCCGATGTATTGTCAGTGATAAACTAAACTTGCTAGTATTCTGAGCTGCTGCGCCTCGCTGACTTCGTCGCGTTTGTTCTTTTGTCGTGGCATTTAGAAAACTTCTTTTATTATGTACTCGTATGCGCTTGCCTTCTGAGTGATTTCGTAATTGTGTAAGCTGCTGATGTAGTTAACAATTAATTTTTATAGAAAAAACGAGCAAATAAACAATATTGCATGACCATTGCGATCAAGTTGCCTTATAGAGTCTCAATCAAAGGCTATGTGCATGTTGGACGGCCCAAAAAAGGCAAAAATACACAACGAAAACAACAACATCAAAAAGCGAAAAAAAAAAACATCATTACATTTTTGGTGCAATTTGTAATGCCACTGATTTTTATTGGCAGTGCACATAGTTTGCCAAATGCTTAAGAAATCTATAGTAGAAAGCTCTTACAACGAACGACATCTTTGTCCACAACGTGATGATTAACGCCGCCCCCGATGAATAATCAAACTATATGTACCAACCAGCCAACGGGCCAAAATATATGTATTCGATGTTAATTTTAGACCGAAAAAAAGAAAGAACAACCGAATATACGGCATAAACTGTGAATAAATGTTGTGTCAGCAAAAGACATTTTAATCCTTAATTATAGGAAAAGAAAAAGGGCGATTAAATATTAATTAATAATTTTATGGTTTATCGTTATTGACCAATCTGTTATTTTCCGTAATCCTCTTTCTACATACATGTTAAAAATGTCAAATTCCATCTGCAATATAGGAGTTACGCTCATTTGGCTCTGGAATCGATGGGTAGCTCCTTTTATTTGAAATGCATTCTGTCCGTCCGGTATCTAGAATTTCTACAGACTTCTTCATTTTTTGTTTGAAAAATACGTGTCAAAAATAAATCGCCATATATATTTTTAGCCAACTTGCTCAAAAAGCCGAACACTTGCCGAAACGCAACGAACAGCCGTTGGGAAACAGAAACAGAAATATAGAGAGAGAGAGAGAACTCTGGCAAAGTCAAATTGCTGTGCCATAATCGGGAGGCTGTCTGATGAGCACATGCTGGCAATGCAGCCAGAGGCACAGCGATTTGAGTGTCGAGGCAACGCAGCGTAAAATTCAGACAAACTAGCCCGAGGTGTTAGATATCGTCGATATGAGATCGCGCTACCGCAAGCAATGCTCCTCACAGTCATAGTTATTGTGGTGTTGTCGCTCAGTAGCATGCGCATATGCCCTACAGCTCAGGGGGTAGCGTATATTTTTCGCTCGGAGCACATCTTGCTGCAACAACAACAGCAGCAACAGCAACAACAACAACAATCAAGTGGAAAGTGCAAAAATATATCTTTAGCTGAGCGCACACGAACTGAAACGAACTCTTGTTTCGTGGGATTCGTGCGGTTCGTGCAGCTATTTGATCGCATTCTCCAAGATATTTTGTCATTCTTCGCTCGCACCTCAATAACGATCGACGTCTTGGTTTCAGTCTCGGGGATTATGACTTGAAACAGTTTGAAAATAGATATTTTTTGAAAGAAATACATATATGAATACGGTACATATATATATGTGTTTTGCTTTATAGTTCGCATAGAGGTTTGTTCATAATTAAATAGAAAAATATCGCAAGGATAACGCATAAATGTAAGGATTAACGCGATAACTGTGATTTTTGTGTGTGAAAAGTGTGAAAAATATATGAAATGTTCATGAATTTTTGGTTTCGTAACCACTTTGAAAATTCTGAAAGAATTTTTCGGTGCGCTAAATATCTATAAATATCACACGAGCGGTGCTTCGGTCGCGATCGACGGGTTCTCGGTCTGCTGCTCGATGGCACTTCGTGAAGTCCGCACCCAATTCGACGAATGGACTGTGAAATGTGCATATAGATATATATGCGATTACACTTAGATATAGATATATACATACATATCTATCTATATATATATGTATATATATATATATATATCTATGTATATATCTAGCTATATTCAAATTTGTGCATTATCCTGGCTTATCCTGCCAAGGATTACATGCAAGGATAGCCACGATAATGTGCATGAATGTGAAAATGTATCTATAATCAAGTGATTCATCCGATATGAGATTTGTGCAGATTTGAAAATCAATTTATAAATAGCCACTGAAAAATAAGAAGCTACCAAACGACACAGTGTACAAGTATATGTAGATATATCTTGCCTGCCAGCCTGACTGAATATCTGAACCAGCACAGTGTGTGTCGCAGTGAAATATTTTCGAAGTTAAAAATAGATGGAAACGCTTCAAAAGCAAAGCATATTAATATGAAGAAGATTGGATGATGAAGAAATCTTTTTGATATATCTGTGTCTATGTATATGCAGTTCGGGTGAATAATAAAAAATTCGAGAAAAAAATAACGCAAGAAACGGGTGTCGGGAAATAAAAGAAAATATGTGAAAAGCAAACATACTCGTAAAATGATAAAATCATAAAACGTTTGCCAAATCACAGCTCTCGAGTGATAAATATAATAACATAATACATATGTGTTTTTCCTTTCCAATTATATTTAATTTCAGCTATTAAGAGAAGCAAAAGAATATATGTAGATAAATCGATCAATAAATAGATATATATATATATATATTATTATCTGTAAAAGTGAAGAAGCAAAGCAACGAGCAGTGATATTGAGGTGTTTATATAGTGCAGTTTATTCTGCATCGATTTGGTTGTCATTTTCAATGATATATAGTGATATATAACTATTCAAAATGCAACGAGAAAATTCGAATCCCTACCAGCAACAGCAGCAGCAGCAGCACCAACAACAACAACAACAGGTGCAACAATACTCCACTCAGGAGTATTCACACTCTTCTCAGCAACACCAGCAGCAAAGGATTAGCCGCACTGAACAACATGTTCAGAGGAGAGAGATCACCACTCAGCAACGAGGTCAGTTGGGCTGCCAGCCCAGAGACGACTATAATTCCGATCAAGCAGTTGTGAACAGTGGGATTCACACCGTGGATTTAGAATTTCCACTGTTCATGCTCTTGTCCATCATGGTCGTTAAAAACATTAAAAGCATATTTCATAACACACTACATCGGCTTCATAACGCTAAAATCCATTCTCAATAGTTCCTCAATGACCTTGAAATTTTGCGTTTGGAACTATATCTGAAAATAAGTTCAATTGTCTATTTAGGGATCGATTACAGAAATGAGGATAGTTTTTGGCTCGCCAATAGTGAGAACTTTAAAAATCGATACAACGGATTGAAGGCATTTTTGTTTTTTTTAATCTCATAAAAATAATACATTTAGAATAATCTAGCTGACCAGCTATTTTAATTATCAGATTTTGTATTAGCGATAAAAAGGTGCTTTCCAGCTACTTATAACTTTTTGGGAGACCATAAAATGGTATGTTAGCAATTTGAATTGTCTTAAGGTGCAGATATGTTACTGTCTGTTCTAGACTTCTAAAAATTTCAAACGATTTTTTATGAAAATTGGGGTAACATTTTCTTGGAGATACAAATCATACTTACACAATTGTGCTATAACGGATTGATGACAAAAACAGAACTTAATTTCTTCAATATTGTTGGGAAATTCAACTTACTTCTTTCAAAAGCAACTTTAAAATCATGCAAAGTTTTGGCACTATATCTATAAAGACTGTTGGATTAACATTCAATTTAATTCCATTATTTTTAAATCGCCCGAAAAATCAAACGATCCATACTACTTCATTGTACATGAAAGATGTGCGATAGCTGCAAAAACTATTTTCCATTCTTATCAATTTCCATAAATTTGATCAAACATTTAAATAAACTAAATAAAGAAGTGTATTTTTTAAACTCCTTCTCTGAACTATACATTATTAAGTATAGTATATGATAATGGAAATAAATCTCTTATCTACTTGATATGTAGGTATAAAGAACTTATAAAATTCCTGCTCAAATTGTAAAAGATGAAATAGTTGAAATATTTTCAACATATTTTCAAGCTATTATTTTGTTATAGTTTGTTAAAAAATGTTAAATTTTGATTAAATAATGCACGATGCAGTAAAATAATAATGTTTGCATCTGATCGATGGAAAAACAGCAACAAATGCAACTCAGTTCCATTTTAAGACGAAATAGTAATAATAATGAATGTATAGTATATGACGAAATTGATTTTTTTTTTTTTTTTAACTTATATATTCAATGTAACAAAGTATTTAACACCCTATGTTTTTATGCTTGTTTTTGATATATACATCTAATATCTTGGTTTTTCGATATCAATCGATAATTTATAATAAAATTTGGATTCGCTTTGAAATTACTGGGCAGCAATACTATTTACTTAATGAAAATCTTTTGAATTTGAACAAAATATATTTAGTAAATACTCAGAAAACCCATATACCTTATATACATATATACTTATATACATATACCTTTCACATAATACGCCTCCTTAACCCTTTTTTAAATGATAGAAGATGAGTATAACTTATGTAGAGTAGATGTCATCATCCAGTACCGGCTTTATCACACATAGTGTGCATTTTATTCCACCCCTGAAGGGTAAATAATAAATTAAACATATTCTTGACATAATGCTGAGATGCCTAAAACCAAATGATAAGACTGATTTGTTTATCGAGTCCCGGCTCTTAATAAAAGTGACATAAGAGCCAGGAGAAATAAACACAATACCTTATTTACTTGCTATACAACAAAATTTGTTTAAAGAATAGCGCACAGGCAAGAATACAAAAATTCTAAATTTATCCACCAGAAGCGGATTAAGCTTCAAGTGAATAGATACAATATGGAAAGCTAATGACTTTTAATCTGATTAATAATTTTCATCATAAGTAAGCATTACGCATTTGGCAAAGTAGTGAAAAAGATTTCATACTTAAGCACCACTTTCTAAAGAAATATTTGTATCCTTCATGAGATCTACCTCTTCTACGCAAAAATAGAAATTCATATTTTACACATTAATCATGTAACAATTATTCTTAAAGGGAAACTATACATTTTTTAAATAAACATCTCAAAAAATGCTTTTCTTCATACAGGGTGCGACATCTTTTATGTCGGTATGTAAACATTGAATATCTTTGAAAATAAATAACCGATTTTCAAGTATGAGATATTTTTATTTAATTTGGTTCTGTACAATTTCTTCAGACTAATTTTTGAAAACAACATCAATCAAGTCAATCGGTTCACTAATGACAAAGGTATTCAATATTTACATACCGACATAAAAGATGGCGCACCCTGTATGTAAACAGATTTTGTAAGATGTACCAAAATCGTAAATAATTGGCATTAAGTGTCTTACCTCAAAAGAAGTCGTAACGTCTCCCGAAACTGAAACGAGAAATAAGGAAAAAATGATTAATCCAATATTTTAATTATTCAAATATTTCTTATCTAAATGACATGATACGAAAATTAATTTGTATTTTTAAATAATTATTTTTTCAGTCCTTTTAATTATTCAAATATTTCTTATCTAAAAGAAATAAAACAAAACTTAATTCGTATTTTTGAATAATTATTTTTTCAGTCCTTGTGTTAACATTGCTTTTAAATGATCTTCATTAATTATCACTCAACATAATCTATTTTTAATTGCGTCCATTCATCTGCCACATTATCGTATCTGTACACAAATATGCACCGATTTATTTATAAACAAAAAATGTATAAGAGAATCTTATATCGTTTGTTTACACTTTGTTGCATTTTTTGCGCCAGTTGTCAGAGTGAGAAAGACATATGGCACCCGAACACTCTTATATGGGGACCCGAAGTGACTTTTAGTCATCTCTCTGGTCATGCGCAGAATAGTCTACGAGAGCGCGAGAGTCGGTTGAGAGAAACAGCTGATTTGGCCGTATTCCAATGCTTGATCACCTGTTCCAAATTCAAAAATAAACCTACATATAGAAACGTGAAGACGTCCTAGTGACACACTTGATGAGTCACTTCAGCGCACATACCAATAAACACTAATACTTATATATTTACATTCATACCTACTTGTATACTATTTGTAGATACATCAAAGATCTAAAAATAAATTGGTACATGTGCCGAATAGTATAAATAATGGTAAACAACAACTAAAAATAGTTCGGCATTGAGGTGTTTAGCTTTTTTAAATTCTGTTTTATTTTGGTTTTCACAATAATATGCTTCTCCATCACAAATGAAATTGTTGACTGATACTTAAATTATTAAATTAATTTTTTACAGTGCAACATCAAGGCGGCATCGGTGGCACCTACGTACCGCCATCGTTAACACACGTCTATGCCCAAGGTGACATTTCACCGCCAGTTTTTGAGCAAATCTTCAAGAATGCTCGCTTCGCTCAGGGCGGCAACGCTCTGTTCGAAGGTAGACTGCGTGGCAATCCGAAGCCATTCGTAACTTGGACCCGAAAAGGCGCACCACTTCTCGAGTCGCAAAAGTTCCGTATGAGCTACAACGAAGCCACTGGCGAAGTGTCCCTCTTAATTAATCAAATTGGACCAGGCGATGAGGGCGAGTACACGTGCACCGCACGCAACCAGTATGGTGAAGCTATTTGCAGTGTCTACATACAACCGGAGGGCGCACCAATGCCCGTACTGCAGCCCATACAAAACTTGGAGAAAAACATCTATTCCAACGGCTACTCTTACACATCCATCGAAGAGGAGTTCCGCGTAGACACCTTCGAGTATAGACTTTTGCGTGAAGTTTCCTTTAGGGAGGCTATAACGCGACGCTCTGGATACGAGCACGACTCTCAATTGTCCCAGGAGCTGGATCGTTCGTTGGGTCCTGCGCACGCACCACAAATAGCGCAGAAACCAAGAAGCTCTAAGCTCATTGAGGGTTCTGATGCTGTTTTCACCGCAAGAGTGGGCTCAAATCCAAAACCACGACTAACTTGGTTCCATAACGGCCAGCGTCTTGTAGCGTCGCAAAAGTATGAGATCTCTTATTCGAGTGGCGTTGCCACGCTTCGCGTGAAAAACGCCACTGCCCAAGACGGCGGACATTATACTCTACTTGCTGAAAATTTGCAAGGCTGTGTGGTGTCTTCGGCTGTGTTGGCCGTAGAACCCGCTGCCGAGTCCGCATATGAGCCTAAGCCTGTGGATGTTATGGCCGAACAACTGGAAGCTGGCAAGGCTTTGCCACCAACTTTTGTGAAGGCTTTTGCCGATCGCGAAATAACTGAAGGTCGCATGGCGCGCTTCGACTGCCGCGTAACCGGTAATCCCTATCCCGAGGTGTTCTGGTTTATAAACGGCCGCCAAGTGCGTGACGATGCCTCGCACAAGATTCTAGTCAACGAGTCCGGCAGTCACTCCCTTATGATCACCAATGTCACGCGTTTGGATGCCGGTGCCGTGCAGTGCTTAGCGCGCAATAAGGCCGGAGAGGTCGCCATAGAAGCGCAATTGAATGTATTGGAGAAGGAGCAAGTTGTCGCACCACAATTTGTGCAACGCTTCAGTACATTGACTGTGCGCGAGGGCGAGCCAATTACCTTGAGTGCCAACGCCATTGGAACTCCCGTGCCACGCATCACTTGGCAAAAGGATGGCGTACAGATCTCATCGACTGCTGAGCGCTTCGTTGGTATTGATGGTGGTGCCACCTGCTTAGAGATACCTCGTGTGAAGGCTTCTGATGCTGGCTGGTATCAATGTACAGCACAAAATATCGCCGGTTCAACTGCTAACCGTGCGAGACTCTATGTCGAAGTTCCCAGAGAACAACCAAGTCACGAACAAAGGCGTCTTAACCTACCTAGACCAACGAAAGTCATCGAACCAGAGTAAGAAACGTGTGACAAAATATTCCTTGGTCAATTGTATTACATGAGTGTTACTCTTTTTATATTTTTCTACAGACCTATTCCTGGTCCGGAAATAATTTATTTGCGCCATGTTGAGCGCGCAAAACCTCATTTGCGGCCCGGCGAGGAAGATCGCGTCTATCCTCCACCACAGTTCATTATACCGTTGCAAAATGTGCAGCAAACTGAAGGTGGTCGGGTGCACATGGAGGCACGTATTGAACCCGTTGGCGATCCCTCAATGGTTGTTGAATGGTTCCTAAATGGTCGCCCACTGGCTGCCAGTAAGTTCGCTAACATTACAATAGTTTGAATGATCAGTTAACGAGTGTTTTACACTTTTAGGTGCTCGCGCCACATCTGTCTTCAAGTTTGGCTTTATTGCGCTCGATTTACTGAGCATTATGGGCCACGATTCTGGGGAATACATGTGCCGCGTCAGCAATGCAAGTGGCGTTGCAGAGTCACGCGCTATTTTATCTGTAACCCAGCGTCCATCTATCGAGCAGTCCTCTCAAAATCCCAACAGCTTGCAATATATCAATCAGCTGGAGGACTACTCGCGCTACCAGCGCCAAGAGAGCACGGAGGAGCTAATGAATCAAGCTCCAGAATTCATCCGGCCCCTAAGAGATTTGGGTGAGCTCGAAGAAGGCAAGAACGTACACTTTGAAGCCCAGGTAACACCGGTCAATGATCCTACCATGCGCGTTGAATGGTATAAGGATGGCCTTCCGATTACTGCCAGCTCACGAATTACCGCTATCTTCAACTTCGGTTATGTCTCCCTAAACATACTGCACCTCCGTGCTGAAGATGCGGGTTCGTATACAGTTCGTGCAGTTAATCGTATTGGCGAAGCCATTAGCTCGTCGACCATCCGTGTGCATTCACGCTCCCAGGTTACCGCTGACTTGGGCATACCCGAACAACAACGCTATATCGAAAAAGTTGAAGAATTGGAGGACTATAGGAAAGCACAACAGCGACGTCATGTCCAAGAGGCACCTGAAGCCATTGCCCCACCCCAATTCAAAACACCAATTCAAAACCAGCTGGATCTACGCGAGCATGCCCATGCCCACTTTGAAGCACGTCTGGAACCGATCGGCGATTCCACAATGCGCGTAGAATGGTTGAAAGATGGCCAGCCATTGGAGGCTAGCTCTCGCATAACTACCTATCACAACTTTGGTTATGTAGCTCTGACCATCAAGCAGCTGACAATTTACGATGCCGGCACTTATACATGCCGTGCCTATAACGCAATGGGTCAAGACACAACCACAGCCCAATTGAGTGTCATTTCTAAGAACGAAATTGTGTCTGATTCGCAGCATCCGGGTGGTCTACAGAAAATACAACATCTGGAAGACTCTTCGCGCTACAGTCGCCGAGAAGAGGAGGAGACCTCCATAACTCAAGCGCCACGCTTCCTAGGCCCTCTGAAAGGAACAACCAAAATTTTAGAAGGTCAACGTGCTCACTTTGAGGCTCGTGTGGAGCCACAAAGCGACTTGGGCATGCATATTGAGTGGTACCACAATGGACGTGCGATCACCGCAGCTAACCGTATTCAAACGTACTACGATTTCGGATATGTCGCATTGGACATCTCCCAAGTGCGAGCTGAAGATGCCGGTGTCTACACTGTGGTGGCCAGAAACAAACTAGGTGAAGCTCAGTTACAAGCAACGATGGTAGTGGAAAGTAAGTATAATAAGGCGTTAGAAAATAGAAAATCTTTGCTAATTACTTTTTCGATTAATAGCTCGTTCCAGCATCGACACATCTAGCATGCACCGCGGCCTTTATGAGAAAACTCAAAATCTGGAAAACCGTCCATTTGCTGAGCCACAATACGATATTGAAGAAATTTCAAAGTCAAAGCCCATCTTCGTACAGCCGCTTACGGACCCGAAGCCTATCCACGATGGCAAGAACATCCACTTGGAGTGTCGTCTAGAGCCTATGGGCGATCCCACAATGCGTGTCGAATGGTTCCACAATGGCCGTCCCGTGACTGTTGGTTCACGTTTCCGCACCTACTATGATTTCGGTTTTGTTGCTTTGGATATCATTCAAGCGACGGCTGCCGACTCTGGGGAATACACAGTGCGAGCCACAAACCATTTGGGATCTGCTCACACCTCGGCATGTGTGCGTGTCATTGATCGCACGGATGTGGTGACTGAGACTCAGAACGAACAATCTCTTGAACAAATCCAACTGCTTGAAGATTCGCGTCGTCGCCACCATATGGAAGAGGATATTACCATTATGCAAGCTCCACAATTCACTCGTGCTTTGCATAATATTGAAACCATGGAGGGCACAAATGTTCATTTGGAGTGCCGTCTGCAACCAGTTGGTGACCCAAGCATGCGTATTGAGTGGTTTGTCAATGGCAAGCCCGTTAAGACTGGACATCGTTTCCGGCCAGCCTACGAATTCGACTATGTAGCGCTTGATTTGCTTGGCTGTTATGCCATTGATTCGGGAGTTTACACGTGCCAAGCCCGAAACCAGTTGGGTGAGGCCGTCACCTCATGCTCTGTGCGCATTATTGCGAAGAACGATTTAATTTTGGAAACGCAAAATGAGTCTGGCTTGCAGAAAATCCAGTACTTGGAGGATTCATCGCGTTACCGCCGCAATGAATTTGTAGATGAAGTTGTCAATATTCGTCCCCGTTTCTTAACGCACCCCAAGAGCTTAACCAATACGCGTGAGGGTGGTCATGCTCACTTTGAATGTAAGATTGAACCAGTAACTGACCCAAATCTAAAAGTGGAATGGTTCAAGAACGGTCGCCCGATTACGGTTGGTCACCGATTCCGTCCTATTCATGATTTCGGATATGTCGCTTTGGACATTGTTGATCTGATTGCTGAAGATTCCGGCGTTTACACCTGCCGCGCAGTTAATCTAATTGGATCCGATGAGACTCAGGTCGAATTGCAATGCCGTAGCAGTGAACAAATCGTCACTGTTACCCAAAATGAAGCTGGCCTAGAACAGATTCATTATTTGGAAGACCGATCGCGTTATAGCCGCCGCGAAGAGATCGATGAAAGCACGAAGCAGACACCAGTTTTCACTACCTCTTTGAAGAACATCGAAATAAAGGAGAATCAACGTGCCCACTTTGAGTGCCGTTTAATTCCGGTATCCGATCCTTCCATGCGCGTGGAATGGTACCACAACAACTTGCCACTAAAATCTGGCTCGCGATTCACTGAGACCAACAACTTCGGCTTTGTAGCTCTGGACATTATGTCCTGCTTACCTGAGGATGCAGGTACTTATACCTGCCGTGCTTTCAATGCTGTTGGTGAAGCTATCACCTCTGCAGTCGCCATCGTGCACACCAAGAAGTCTATCTATCTAGAATCGCAACATGAAACTGCACTGCCACGCTTGCAGCATTTGGAAGATGGTTCTAAGCGTCAACGCATCAGCGTTCAAGATGAATTTGTTTCTCAGGCACCAGTGTTCACCATGCCGGTGCGAGATGTTCGTGTTGCTGAAAATCAGGCAGTGCACTTTGAAGCTCGCTTGATCCCGGTGGGCGATCCCAACCTAAAGGTAGAATGGCTCCGCAATGGTCAGCCCATTGAAGCCTCCAATCGTACGACAACAATGCATGATTTCGGATATGTGGCGCTTAACATGAAATATGTTAATCCTGAAGACTCTGGCACCTACACCTGCCGTGCCGTCAATGAACTGGGTCAAGCTGTAACTTCAGCTTCGTTGATTGTGCAGTCAAAGACTGCTATACAGTTGGAGACTCAACACGAAGCTGCCATGCACAAGATTCATCAACTAGAGGATCACAGCAAGTACCAACGCCGCGAGGAAGAGGAATTCACCGTGACAACAGCACCAGTTTTTGTTACCAAATTGATTGGTCCTAGCAATCTGGTTGAGGGACAAAGTGCTCATTATGAGTGCCGCATTGAACCATACCCTGACCCAAGCCTTAAGGTTGAATGGTTCCACAACGGCAAGCCGCTTAGCACTGGTCATCGCTTCCGTACAACTTATGACTTCGGATTTGCTGCTCTAGACATCCTCACTGTGTACGCTGAAGATAGCGGCGAGTACACATGCCGTGTGACTAACAATCTTGGCGAAGCCGTGAACTCTGTTGTGCTTAATGTGCAATCTCGTTCTTCTATTATTCACGAGACTCAGCATGAAGAAGCTTTGCACAAGATTCAGCACTTGGAGGATACAACGCGTTTCCAACGCAAGGCCGACGAAGATCAGTTCCATGCCGAACGCCCACAGTTCGGACGTCCGCTGCGTAATGCCAAGGTCAATGAAGGCACTCCAGTTCATTTGGAAGCTACCTTGGTCCCCGTTAATGATCCAACCATGAAGGTGGAATGGTATTGTAATGGCAGACCCATTCAAACAGGTCATCGCTTCAAGACAACCTATGATTTCGGCTTCGTTGCGTTGGACATCTTATATGCACATGCTGAAGATACTGGCACATACATGTGCAAGGCCAAGAATGCTGTAGGGGAAGCTGTCACGACTTGTGCTGTAAACGTAACAGGTTGGTTAACATGAGATAAATTTATAGAAGAATAACATTAAATTGTTTCTTGTAATTTTTAGCAAATAAGACATTGGACCTCGACACAATGGATGCTCAGCGTCTCGAGAAGATTCGTCAACTGGAGAGCTATGCACCACCAACTAAGCTAGAAGTAGAAGAGAAGGGTCAAAAGCCTATTTTCCTGACGCCTCTAAGCAACCTGGAGCATCTGAAGGAAGGTGAACACGCTCACCTGGAGTGTCGCGTTGAACCAATAAATGACCCTAACCTGAAGATTGAATGGTTCTGCAATGGCAAACAACTGCCAACTGGTCATCGCTATAGAACCACTCATGACTTCGGCTACGTCGCTTTAGATATTTTGTATGTCTACGGAGAAGATACTGGCACATATATGTGCAAGGCCACAAACCTGTTGGGAGAGGCCGTTAATACCTGCAACGTGCGTGTGCTGAACCGTCGCAGCATGATTCTGGATACTCAGCATCCTGATGCTTTGGAGAAAATACAAAAACTAGAATCAAAGGTAGTGACCACCCGTACTGAAGTTGGCGACCATCCCCTCAGCCCACCACACTTTACGGCAGAGCTGCGCGGATCTACTGAGATCTATGAAGGTCAAACCGCTCACTTTGAAGCTCAAGTGGCTCCAGTTCATGATCCAAACTTGCGCATCGAGTTTTACCATAATGGCAAGCCACTGCCATCGGCTGCTCGTTTCCACATCACTTTTGATTTCGGATATGTCTCACTGGATATAACACATGCTGTGGCCGAAGATGCTGGCGAGTACTCTGTGCGCGCCGTCAATGCGCTCGGGCAATGCGTTTCGTCCACAAACTTGCGCGTCATTGCACGTGGTACTATTATCTCCGACACTCAACATCCTGAGGGATTGGAGAAAATACGCAAGCTGGAATCAAATGCTCCATATCAGCGTCAAGAAATTGAGACTCCTGGCACTAGACAGCGTCCAGTGTTCACTCAACCACTGCAAAATATCGATCGCATTAACGAACATCAAACAGCTCACTTTGAGGCCCGCCTTATTCCTGTGGGTGATCCAAATCTGAAGGTCGAATGGTACCGTAATGAGAAGCTTATTGAGGACAGCTCCCGCATTACCAAGCAACACGATTTTGGTTACGTATCCTTGGACATCTCTCACATTCGCAAGGAAGATGAGGGCGTTTATATGTGCCGCGCAGTTAATCCATTGGGCGAGGCCGTTACCACCGCTTCGATGCGTGTTGTCACTGAAGCTAGTATTCTCATGGATACACAACATCCAGATAGTATCAGTCGCATCCACCAATTGGAGAAACCCGTAGCTCCACGCCCAGCAGAGCCAGAGCGCCTCTTTGAGAAGCCTATCTTTACGCAATTGCTTACTGGTCCTTCTGAAGTGTGGGAAGGCACGCACGCACACTTTGAGGCTCGCGTTGTTCCGGTCGGTGATCCTTCTTTGAAATTCGAGTGGTACATCAACGGTGTGGAACTGCAAATGGGCTCGCGCCTGCGTACAACACATGACTTTGGTTTTGTTACTCTGGACATTAACGCTGTTGTTCCTGAAGATGCCGGTGTCTACATGTGCCGTGCATACAATGCCGCTGGCGAGGCCGTTTCCTCTACAGCTATGAAGGTCAAGACTAAGGCGAACATCGACGGACAGCCCTTGGTTCCAGAATCCTGGGAAGCTATTCGCCTTAAGGAAGCCGCCATGAACCGCGTACCTGAAATGCTTGTTGACTCAACACCGCAACAAGCCCCAGTGTTCACGACTCACTTGCAGAGCTACGACAAACTGCATGAGGGACAGCATGTATTGCTGGAGGCTCAAGTAGAACCTCGTGCTGATCCAAATCTACGTATAGAATGGTTCAAGAATGGTATTTCATTGACCACTGGCTCTCGTATTCGCAGCACTTTCGATTTCGGTCTAGTAACATTGTCTATTAACGGTCTGCGTGAGGATGATTCAGCCATCTATACTTGCAAAGCCACTAACTTGGTTGGCGAAGCTGTTTCTACATCGTCTTTGAAGATCGAAGATCGTCATTGGTTACATGCAGAATCTCTGCATCCAGACTCGCTGCCACGTATTGGTGAGCTAGAAGCACCAAAGGAGGGTCGCCCAGAGGCACCTGAGCCCACATACGAAACTCCCGTTTTCATTACCCACTTGAACAACATTGAGTGCAAAGAGACCGATAATGTGCGTTTTGAGTGCAACGTTGAACCAGCTCGCGATCCAACCATGAACATCGAATGGTACTACAATGGTCAGCCATTGCAAGCTGCAGCCAAATTCAAGTCAATTTATGACTTTGGCTACTGCGCCTTAGATTTGACCAACTCGTACGCAGAAAACAGCGGCGTTTATACTTGCAAGGCTACGAACAGCAAGGGCTCAGCCACAACTTCGGGCACGCTTAGGTGCACTGGTGGAAAGACAATGTTCTTGGATACTCAACATCCTCAGGGTGAGAGTGGACTGGAAGCTGTTCAGGAAACCGAAGAGGCCCTGGCTAACCGCTACAACCAGAAGTCAACTAAGCCTGAGACGCAATATCCTCCTCCAGTCTGGACAAAACCATTGCAGCCTGAGTTTAAGCTGTCTGAAGCACAACCAATCCATTTGGAGGCAAATGTGGAGCCCAAAGAAGATCCTAACTTGTTTATTGAGTGGTATTTCAACGGAAAACTGTTGCAACATGGCTCGCGCTTCAAGATGACCACCGAGTTTGGCTTCGTTACCATGGACATGATTGAAGTTTATGAAAGAGATCAAGGCATATATACTTGCAAGGCTTACAACAAGGCCGGCGAAGCTTTCACATCTACTACCATTTTCTGCAGTAGCAAGGAAAATATTATTGAGAAAACTCAGCATCCCAAGGGAGCAGAAGGTCTTGAACAAATCCAAGACCTGGAAGATTCACTACGCAGGGATGGTAGCAAGCCAGAGAAACCTGAAGAAGGCATTGCACCACGCTTTACTACCGAGTTCGTCAACATCGCGGACATCGGCGAAGGTGAACTTGCCCACTACGAAGCCAACCTTATTCCGGTGGGTGATCAGAGTATGGTCATCGAATGGTTCTTTAATGGTAAAGTTTTGGAGGCTAGCCATCGTGTGCGCACTATTTATGCCTTTGGAACTGTCGCTTTGGAGGTGCTCGGCACTAAGATCGAGGACACCGGCACTTACACATGCCGTGCCACCAACAAATACGGATCTGCTGAGATCAGCTGCACTTTGGAGTGCGTTGACAAGCCACGTGGCCAGAAACCGCGCTTCACGTCGCACATTCAACCGCTGCAAGGCTTGAAGGATGGACAGTCTGCACACTTTGAGTGCACTCTGATACCCGTTAATGATCCTGATTTGAAGGTCGAGTGGTATCATAATGGCAAACTTTTGCGTCATTCGAACCGCATCAAGACAGTTTCCGACTTCGGTTACGTTGTGCTGGATATTGCCTACTTGCAGGATCATGATAGTGGCGAGTATGTGTGCAGAGCTTACAACAAATATGGTGAGGACTTTACTAGAACGACACTCAATTGCGGTGGTCGCGGCGGTGTGTTCTACGACAGTTTACAGCCCGATTCACTACCAAGAATTCGTGAGCTTGAGTGTCCACAAGGCCAACAGACCGATTCTAGTGCTCCTATTGTGGCTGAACCACCCAAATTCATTACCCAAATCAGTGATGTAACCAAACTTGTCGAGGGCCAAAGCGCGCACTTTGAAGCCCGTTTGACGCCTGTAACCGACCCAGATCTGAAGGTCGAATGGTATTTCAATGGCAAAAAACTGCCCCATGGACATCGTTTCCGTACCTTCCACGACTTTGGCATTGTCATTTTGGATATTCTGTACTGCTATGAGGAGAATTCCGGTGTATATGAGTGCCATGCCGTCAATAAATACGGTGAAGATGTCACTCGTGCTACGCTAAAATGCGCTTCGAAGGCTAGTCTTATTCTAGACTCTCAACTGCCACGCGTAAGTTATTCGATTATTTTAATTTAATTTCATTTGTTAATAAATCTTTACTTATAGGGAATGGAAGGTGGTCTGGAGAAGATTGCCAATCTTGAGTACAGCATGGTACGCACTCGCGACGAAACAACGGAAGAGACTAAGGGCAAGGCTCCAGTGTTCACCGTTCCTCTTGAAAATATTGAAAATCTACGTGAGGGTGAAAACGCTCATTTCGAGGCGCGCATTACACCAGCTGATGATCCTAAGCTTAAGGTTGAATGGTATTGGAACGGTCGTCCACTCAAGGCCGGCTCTCGCTTCCGTACCTTCTGTGACTTTGGATTCGTCATCTTGGAAATTTCACCTGTTTATCCCGAAGACTCTGGCGAATATTCGTGCCGTGCTATTAATGAGTATGGTGAAGCCGTTACCACAGCTACCATGAAGATTCAGGGTAAACGCAGCATTATTATGGAATCCCAGCTGCCAAAGGGCATGGAGGGCACTATTGACAGAATTGCAGAATTAGAAGGATTGGGTTCACGCAGCACAGAGTTTGTACCTGATGATGACACTGGCAAGCCGCCAGAGTTCATAACCACACCGTTCGATATGGTGATCACCGAGAACTCTTTGGCCCACTTCGAGTGTCGCTTGCAGCCCATTAACGATCCGTCCATGCGCGTTGACTGGTTCCACAATGGCAAGGCTTTGTGGGCTGGCTCCCGCATTAAGACTATTAACGACTTCGGTTTTGTCATTCTTGAAATAGCTGGTTGTTATCAACGCGATAGTGGTCTGTACACTTGCAAGGCCACCAACAAGCATGGTGAGGCTACTGTCTCATGCAAGCTACAGGTTAAGGGACGCCAGGGTATTGTTATGGAGCCTCAACTACCCTCAAACTTCCGTACTGGTACGGAAAGTTTGCAGAAGTTGGAGGAGAGCATGCATAGACGCGAGGAAATCGTTATCGATGAGGAGCAACCTAACCCGCCTAAGTTCATTGAAGAGATCAAGGACAATTTGGATGTGCCCGAGGGTGGTCCAGTTCACTTCGATTGCCGCGTTGAGCCTGTTGGCGATCCAACTATGCGCATTGAATGGTTCTACAACGGCCTTCCTATGGCTACTGGCTCTCGAGTACATCAATTGAATGACTTCGGTTTCATTGCTCTCGACATCGATTATATTTATGCACGCGACTCTGGCGAATACACCTGTCGCGCCACAAACAAGTGGGGCACAGCAACTACCACTGCAAAGGTTAGCTGCAAGGGCAAGCACAACATTGTCTACGAATCGCAGTTGCCAGAAGGCATGACCTCTGAAAAGTTGAAGGAATTGGAGCGTGGACGCATACCAGAGGCTCCGAAAGTCGTAGAGCCAGAGTTTGGACCGCCGAAGTTCATTACTCAAATTACTTCCGTTACCGTCGAAGAAGCAGAGGCAGTCCGATTCGAGTGCCAAGTGGAACCAAAGACTGATCCAAGCTTGCGCATTGAATGGTACCGCAATGGCAGACCATTGCCATCTGGTCATCGTTATAGGAACATCTTCGATATGGGCTTTGTATCATTGGATATTTTGTATGTATACGGAGAGGACTCTGGAGAGTACGTCTGCCGTGCTATTAACAACCATGGTGAAGACCGAACCAAGGCAACTGTGTCCTGCAAAAGTAAGTTTAACTAAAGATCTGCATTGAAAACAGCATTTAATGTGCCTGGATTGTTTCAGAACTGCCCACTATTTTGTTGCAAAACCAAGTGCCTCGTGGCATGAAACGCTCAGACGCGTTGACGCAAATGGAAGCTACCATCAAAAAGTATACTTCTGAAGTGCATTTGACCGAAGACGATTTGTTTGATCCCGATCGCAAGCAGCCACCTCGCTTTGTCACGCAAATCAAAGACCAAGCCAATCTTACGGAAATGGCTGTCACTAAATTCGAGTGCCAGCTGGCTCCTGTTGGTGATCCCAACATGAAGGTGGAATGGTTCTTTAATGGAAAACCTTTGCTCTACAGTAGGTTTAATTGAAACGGTAAAAGGATTACAAATGTAACCGAAAATTTTCGATTTCTGCAGAGAACCGCTTCCAACCCATTTACGACTTTGGTTATGTGGCGATGAACTTCGGTTGGGTCTACCCTGAGGATAGCGGCGAATATGTCTGTCGCGCAACTAATTTGTATGGCAAGGACGAAACTAGAGCTTTCATTAAAGTCGCTGGAAAGCCGGGCATTGTTTACGATTCTCAATTGCCCGCTCACATGCAGAGTATCGATCGTATTCGTGAAATGGAAGCTTCTTGGCAGGTGTAAGTAGATTAGTTATAAGTTGAGTAAAATATATGTAGCTAGCATGTCATATTTTGAAATAGTGTGCCTGAGGAGGTTGATCCAGACGCAAAACCAAGAACAAAGCCTATCTTTGTCAGCAAACTGGAACCACAGACCGTGGAAGAAGGCGAATCAGCTAGATTCTGTGTGCGTGTAACTGGACATCCACGTCCAAGAGTTATGTGGCTCATCAATGGCCATACCGTCGTGCATGTAAGTTCTTGTGTGCCCCTCTTCTAGAGTTACGTTGCTCAACATACGGTTCATTGACAGGGCTCTCGCTACAAGTTAACCAATGATGGCATGTTCCATTTGGATATCCCGAAGACCCGCCAGTATGACACCGGAAAAGTTGAGGTGATTGCCCGCAACTCTGTGGGTGAATCGATTGCTTCCACTGAATTGAATGTTGTCGCTCGCTCGGATGACTATCGTAATGTTCTGAAGAATTCGCCACGCCGTAAGTATTACCATCTGATAAGGCTACACAATTGAATTCCGAGCGGAATTAGAGAAGATTAATAAATGACCTAATAACGTAGCACTTAACAACAGTAGACTTTAGATGATTCAACTAAACAAGACAACAACAAATTAAGTAAAAACCGCATTGTATATATACATACACCAAAAAGCACCAGAACCCATATTAAACGCGAGCAGAATTTTCAATGCACAGTATTACTACGCACTCTAATAACATGCCACATTTAAACGACTAGAAAGGTTAAAACACAAATATAAACCACAAAAGGCCCCGTTCCGTTTATATCCGATCCCCAAAAGACCCCCACACCTTTATCCCAAGATACCTATTGTAGTACTTTCGACGAGATTGCAACGCCGTGAAACCTGCCGGGCTCGACATTAAGCCGAGGAACAGAGGAAGGTGGATGCGACCCATAATAAGTATTGCTGGACCATGGGTAATGGTTATGCGAGTTTTTTATGTGCCTTTGAACCCGTCTGTTTTAAACTGTGTGTATTCTCCGGCATTATTAGGATCATATTTCTCTCTGTCTTCATCTTTACTAAAGAGATTTTCAAAGGAGTCAGTTGACCTCTGATCAAAACAGTTTACTAATTTCAAATCATTTCTTTTCTAAAAAGAACTGCTAACTTTTTAAAAAGGCATGATCGATTAAGTATTTGATAAACAACAAAATAATCATTGTACTGCATGCAAACAAGTTTGCTTTTTGTAGTTTTTATCCAAAACTTGCTTTCTGTATATAACCCCCAACTTCCTGAGCTGGCCCTCGACAACGTAAATAACAAAAAACTGTTTCCCCAATGTAGCATGGTACGATTATGAGCTAGCTGCCTATCAGAAGGAACGTCAGGAAAATGAGTTGGAGAAGGTATTTGATGAGCGTAAGCAATATTTATCCGAACAAAGCGCCCATACCCTAAAGGGCGTTGAACACCTTAAGCCCAAGCAATATAAGCCAGCAACTCCAGAATGGCAGCAGAGCGTTAAGGCCAAGAAGAGCGAGGAGTATTACAACAAGTTGCAGGAATTGGAGACAGAGCAGCTGCTGAAGGAGACCACTTTGCGCAGAGATAACCATCAGTACGCCATACCTGGCGACAAGGTTGTTAGCAGCTCCGCTGCCAAGGGTATGGCCCAGTCGTACGAGGAGAACCTGTAAGCTTAAAACGCCAGCTATTCAATTTGTAGTTCCCGTTTTTACATTGTTTACTGTTTCGCCTTTGTTTACAGCCAAGAGCAAACGAGCAACACTCAAATCAAGAAGGCTGGACCTAAGGGTACAGCGGAACCATCAGAGTCTTCCGTGCATGGCCGCGAAGTGCACATGAATAAGCAACAGCAGGTACAGAAGGAGATTCAGGGTGATTTGGAAATCACTCGCAAGATAACATCGACCGAAACAACTGAAATGGAGCACAAGGGCACTACGCAAGAGCGTGTAGTGAAGGGCCCAGTAAAACCAGCCAAAGCGCCAATTTTCACCAAGAAGATACAGCCATGCCGCGTCTTTGAGAACGAACAAGCTAAGTTTGAAGTCGAGTTCGATGGCGAGCCCATGCCAACTGTGAAATGGTTCCGTGAGAGCTTCCCCATTCAGAACTCTCCCGATTTGCAGATTCATACCTTTAGCGGAAAATCGATCCTGATCATACGCCAAGTCTTTGTCGAGGACTCGGCTGTGTTCTCTTGTGTGGCTGAGAATCGTGGTGGCACTGCAAAGTGCAGCGCCAATTTGGTTGTGGAAGAGCGCCGACGAGCTGGCAAGGGTGGAATACAACCACCAAGCTTTGTCACAACTATCCAGAGTACCACTGTAGCCACCGGTCAATTGGCCCGCTTCGACGCTAAGGTCACAGGTACCCGTCCAATGGATGTGTATTGGCTGAAGAACGGCATGAAGATACATCCAAGCATCAAATTTAAAATGCTTGAAGAGGATAGTGTGCATACATTGCTCATTATTGAGCCATTTGCAGAGGATTCTGGTCGTTATGAGTGTGTGGCTGTGAATGCAGCCGGTGAGGCACGCTGCGATGGTGACTGTGTAGTCCAATCGCCAACCAAGCCGGACAAGCCAACTACTCCAGGCAGTGAAAAACCGCCACATATTGTCGAGCAACTTAAGAGCCAATCCGTTGAGGAGGGCAGCAAAGTTATCTTCCGCTGTCGCGTTGATGGCAAACCAACGCCTACGGCCCGCTGGATGCGCGGGGAGAACTTTGTGAAGCCTTCGCGCTACTTCCAAATGAGCCGCCAGGGTGAATACTACCAGCTGATCATATCGGAGGCATTCCCCGAGGATGAGGGCACTTATAAGTGTGTGGCTGAGAATAAGTTGGGCAGCATTCAGACCAGCGCTCAGCTTAAGGTGCGTCCAATCGAGAACTTGGATGCACCTCCCACCATCACAGCCTTGAAGGATGTTTCCGTTACTGAAGGCATGCCAGCCCAGTTCAAGACCACTGTGACCGGCAAAGTGAAGGCAACCAGTGTGCAATGGTTCCGAGAAGGTCAATTGATACCAGAAACACCTGACTTCCAGGTAAGAATTGCATCTAGCACTACAAAATTATTATATGTTTTTCGAGGAAACGCTGTATTACTTGTATAGTAATTGTGTTTGCAAATTTCTAATTGTCTTAATACGAACATTTCAGATGATTTTCGATGGTAACAGCGCTGTACTTCTGATCGGAACGACCTACGAAGAAGATTCGGGTATCTTTACAGTACGTGTGACTTCGTCAACTGGACAAGTCGAGTCCTCAGCCAAACTGACTGTTAAAAGTAAGGATTAAATTAAAAATAAGAAAACAAAACAAATGCCCAAAGTTTGAAAACGTAAGCGAGCAGTGTTCTAAACTCCAGTGAATGTTCAAAAACAACGACCACCAACAACAACAGTAATTTATTTGTTGACTTAAAGCTCAAAACACCACTTAGTACGCAACGAATTTTTTAAGCCACTGACGTTTTACGAACCTTTATACACCAACTACTACTGCTACTCGTAATAGTTTGGTTAAGCATAATATTTTAAAGTGAAAATCAAATTGAAATTGCGCAAATCCTAGGCGCTAGTTATACTAAAAACGAACGAATTATTTCTACTAACAATTTGCAAAATGTGAAAATTAACGAAAGATATATAACACAAAAAGCTACACAACAACAAAAAAAATCAAGATTAATTACAAATAATAAAAATAATTACAAGTATTTTGCAACATAAATATTTATAGAAAATTCTTTCTTTGCTTGTTTATCGGTTGAATATGAAATTGTCCGTTTGAGTGAAAGTCAATTAGACGTTCCGCTCCGATCGCAAAAGAATAGAGAATATTAATTCGAATAAACTCAGAAAGCACTCATTGGACACTGAAAGCACTCGAAGCACAGGCCAAAGTAGATCTGCCCTGTTGAGTTAAAAATAAGACAGCTATGTACTTTTGATATTAGTCAGATGAGAATGTATATAGTAGAAATGTTATAAATACCTTCAGCATGTAGCACCAATCTATAGATACATACATACAGATGAGTATATGTTTTCTATCTGTCGGTCCGTCCATTTCTGTTGCCTATCTATATGATAGTTTTGTATATGGCACACCCATTTTGGGGCCGTGCGCAAAACGCACATTTGTGCCGCCTCCGCTCGAGCTCGGGCGAAAAGTCTTATTTTTCATTTGAATATTAGCATAAAATATTATGGATGGCACATCTAGCCCGAGCAACAGCACTCTCTGTATCTGCCAGATACAGATTTCAAAACACGCACACACACACACACATACATTCACAATCATATAGCGTGTGCAAGAAGTAGAACATTTTCTGAAACACAGCAACCAAGTGTTTAAATTTTTCATTGTAGACATGGGTTTTCAGATTTCAAATTTCAGTTGCCAGATTGCCAGCAACAACAACACATTGTATGGCTATATAGTATAGTATGTATGCCCCATTCTATTTTCAATTTCTTTTTGGAAAATGCTGCTTCGAAAATCTAATTTCCAATAGATTAGCTTTAAATCTGTTTTGTATTTTTAGCACCCAACATAGCAGGCATCGACGAGTTGTTTTTCTTTTCTTTTCTTTTTTGCCTGGACTTGTTCGTAGAAAGAAAACAGCACTTTACTTAAAATATCGTTTTGTTTTTTAAAAAGAAATGGTTAATTTATTTGACTTAGGTTTCAATAAAAGAAAGAAGAAATAACAATATGGTAGAAATGTATTTTCCTTAGCTCCCTTAGCGAAAATAAAATTACAAATAACACAAAGATGTTCGCTTTGTTTCTGTGGATAAGAAGTGACAGGTCCGAGTTGCCGAGTGGGCCGATGTCGGCTTCCATTAGCTGCAATAGATTTTTAGATTCGCTTGGCGACAATAGCTTGGCGAGTAGCTGTTGCCATTGGGCAAGCACCAAATTTAATTGCTCAGTTTATGGTCAGTTTATTTTAATTAAATTAATCAGCTACGGTTGCTCAATCTTTCGAAAGTTCTTCTTCGCCTTACGCTGATTCATTTTGTTTATTTTCGTAATCGGTGCAGATTTGATTTTTGTTTCCAACCGACATCATGGCTGGGGCCTGTAATTGTTTAGGGAAAAAGGCAAATTAATAAAATTGTTTAGGATTGGCTTTGAATTGAAACGACGCTTTAAGATATTATACTTAACCGAACAAGACTCGGACTGGACTGGTTGATCCTCTCACCCAATGATTGTACTTATACTCCCTGAAATGTGTTAATACTGACGATGATGATATTGATAATGATGATCCTGATAATGATGATGATGTTGTTCCCATGTTGAATTGTATTGTTTATTTAATTTAAATCTATTTATGTTTTAGTGATGTTGCATGAGATTTTATTATTCATTTTTTATTACCGCTTTTTACTACTAATTATTTCGTTTCCGTTCCCACTTTTGGTTACATTCATTCAAATCATTTCGTAAAAAAAACAATAAAACAAAACGAAAAGCAAAAATCAAAATTCTTCTCAACGCGCAATCGAATTGGATAAAAGTATTAGCTGCTTATGCTGCCAATATTTTGTTTTTTGTTTCTTGTGGTAAAAAATGCTTTACTAAAAAATAATCATAAAAACTCATGCGACTTTCGTTTTAAGTTTATCTATATAGAGAAATGATTTACTTTCGACATACTCGTATTCGTTTATCTGCCAATCATTAATGTATGTGAATGTTTATTATCGTGTTATTAAGTGGTTATTTGATTACTATTATCACTATTATCACAACAAATTCAACTTCATTTATCAACATAATTGATTGATTGACTTTTAGTTTAAATTTGATTTCACAAACTCCACACACTTTTGTTGTTTAATTGTATTTCTCATGTATTTAATACTTAAAACCAATATCGCGTCTATAAATAAATTCAAGCAAATGCATAATAAATTATATTCGTTTTGATAACTGCCATTATGCTCCATGCTCCCGCTTTCCAGCTGCTGCTTGCTCGTTCCACTATACATACTCGTACACTCGTATATGTATTTTTATTTGAATCCTTAGCCGCCATAAATCACAGGTAAGTTTAAAATCTTAACTGCACTATAGAGATGATTTTCACGTATAGTATGTTTGTGCCCGGCAATCAACTGACTACTACTTTCTGTGTTCGATTGTCTACATAGACTGAGATCGTTGAGTGCGCCCCACTGCGCTGTGCAGCGCTACGTTGCGCTGCCCGTTCCCAAAATACCCGCAGACACACCCGCCCATAATTTTTGTAGAAACGTGTACGCCACCTGGTGACGTAGCCAGCACTAATCACTTATCTATTTTTGGAATTAATATTGTATACTTGTAGGTATTGTAAGACTTTGAATTGCTTGCTCTCCATACCTGCCAATGTACTGCTGGTCCATTAAATAGCCCATGACTTATAGTTGTTTATACCAGAGCCAAAACGATTGTCAAATTTCATTGCAGTGATTGATTGGATCAAGAAAATTTTGGCACATTCGTTGCATTACATACGAGTATGCTTCATTGTCATGACACTGCGCCAAATTTAGCAGAGCCTAATGCATCTTGAATCATGTCGTAGACGATTCGTCACACTCGATTAATGATTCATGAGCAACATACCATATATAATATGTAACATATTGCAGCCTCGCGTGCAATTGTTTAGGGCATGACTACAGTTAGAGATAGTCATTCACAGCTATTTTTAACAATACCAATTATAAAAAATATATACTCGTAATATTGTTCATGCGAGAGAACAAGTGTGTATCATTTTTTGACCTTAACGAAAACTAATTTATTAATTCACGGTCAAAGAAGATGAGCTGTCCCATAAGCGAAATCAAAACATGTCGTTCCCCAGAGGGGGTATGTGATTTGTTCAACAAACATATTATTAGACCATAAATTTAAATCAGCATATAATTTTATTTTCCTCCAATATTTTTTTCAAAATATTTCTCTGAAAAATAAATATTGTTTTCACTGCTCTTGAATTCCTTAGTTTAAAAGTTTTTATAGATATCGTTTAAGATTGTGTTGTATTAAGAGCTTTGCAACAATGAATAAGGTAAGTGATCATGAATGCTATATGTACGGACTTAAGACTTCGCACGAGTGACTGAACACTGCTACGTACTCGTTGAATACTTCAATAATTCCGGGATGAACTAAAAATGTACTTTGCCTAACTTTTTAGAGCGACGTATCTCGGCCTATCAATTGCGCACAATTGATTCCGTCGAAGATGAGTCCTCTTCCTCTGGCAGGGAAGATAGTGCACCCGAGTCACCTTATCCACAACAGCAGCAGCCACCACAATATGGCCAGTACCTTGGCGTCAATGGTCAAGTACCGCACCAGGGTCGTTCGCGGACCAAGAAGACCAAGGTGCGCAGCAAATCCCTGCAGCCACCTTCCAACATTGTGCCTTGGCGAAAGTCATCGCGACCTCATCGCGGACGGTCCTTGGATAAGCAGCCATTTTTGCCAGGCTTTAAGCCGGAACCAATCAAATCATGGACTGAGGAGACAATTAGCTTGAAGCCAGCACCCATTGAGAGAAAGAAGCCCGTCCCCAAACTAGAGGCAGCTAAGGTTGTGCTTAAGTCCATTAAAAGCGAGCGGGATCAGGGCATTATGAGCCTTGGTGCTACATTGGAACAAATTATTGCCGGGAAGACTGAAAAAGAAGCTGTACCGTGGATAACTATGCGCGAAAAATTGAAGCAGGTCGAGAGTGTACAGCAACAACTTAATAAATTCGATCTGGATGAGGTATATTTGCGTCCTCTGGAGGGGCAAATCGAGACGGAGTCACAACAACCACAACAGGCTCAAGTGGAACAGGTGAAGCGTGATAAGGAAATTCAACGCTTGAAGAGCATGGAGAGTGTTGAAATAATGGAGATGACAGAGCAAATCGATAAACTTATAACGCAACACCAGAAAGAGGACACAATTCCATGGAAAGAAATGCGCCAACAGTTGAAGAGTGTTCAACGGGTGACTAAACAAATCGACAAATTCAAAATGGAGGAAGTCGAACTTCGCCACTTGCAGGCTCAACAAATTATTACTGAGGAAACACAGACTGCTGTTGAAGACACGGTTGTTATGAAAATTGATGATAGCTCAAAGGGTTCGATAGCGAAGGTTATGCGTCGCGATGAATTGCAGCACTACGAAGATCAATCAAATCTTTACAAACAGCAATTCATAACCACCGAAGATGTTAATATAATGAATGTGTCTGAGCGTGAAAGGCTGGAAGCTCAACGTATAATCAGAGACCAACAAGGTGTTAACTGGAGGCAGCAGCAGGAACGACCGCAGTTACAGCCACTAACATCAGTCGAGGACACAGTTTCATCTCAGACTAGTGAACGTCAGAAACTTGTTCAGCAACAAAGTACAATTGAGGAGGCTCAACGGCAACAGTTCGTGCAAATTGAAGATTCCCAGATGATGAGCCTTGAACAATACGAGCATCTACAGACGGTCAACCAGCGAACTCAACAAGAGGCTTTCAACTGGCGTCAACCACGACAGCCCCAGAAGTTCATTCAAGTTGAAGATTCATCTCTGCTTCATTTGCAGGAGCGTGAAGACACACAAGAGCAGCAGTTACTGCAACAGCAACCAGTTATGTGGGACCGTGGCAGAAAGCAGCCACAACAGCCACAGCAGCCGCAACCAATGCAACCGCAGGTGCCAATCCAAGAACAATATGTCGAAAAGCCTAAGACTTATGAGGAAATGCACGATGAATTGATTGAACCAGTTCCAGTACAACAGCCACAAGCTCAGCCAGTCATGTGGGAAAGAGGCAAAAAGAAGCCTGTTGCTCCACAGCAACAAACTTACGAGGAGCTACATGATGTATTGGCTGAGCCAATCGCACCACAGCAACCACATTTAGTTCCAGTCATGTGGGAACGCGGCAAGAAGCAACCAGTTCCTCAACAGCAACAGGTTACCGCCACAACAGAGTTAGTGGAAACATCTCAATATGCTGAGCAACAAACTGTTGAGGAAACAAAGAAGGTTGCAGTGCGTAAAGTTCTTCCACCACGTGACCCTGAGCAAAGAGTTGAACAGGTAACATTGAAGCCCACGCCACGACAAAAGCCAAAAGAAGCTCAAAAGGCTGAGGAGTTCCAATTGAAACCCCTTAAGAGTACTAGACAAGTACAACAAACAGTCGAAGAGGAATCGCAAAAAGCTTATGAGGAAACTGTAGATGAAATATTGGTTGAAGAAACCGAGCGACAGGAAGCAGAGCCCTCTCAGCCTGTGATGTGGGAGCGTGGCAAGAAGAAGCCTCAGAAACCACAAGAAGCTCAACAGATTCCAAAAACTCTTGAGGTGGCTGAAGATCAACTTGTAGAAGAATCCACTCTCCCTGTAGAACCGCAGCCACAGCCAGTGATGTGGGAGCGTGGCAAGAAGAAGCCTCAGAAAGCACAAGAAGCTCAACAGATTCCAAAAACTCTTGAGGTAGCTGAAGATCAACTTGTAGAAGAATCCACTCTCCCTGTAGAACCGCAGCCACAGCCAGTGATGTGGGAGCGTGGCAAGAAGAAACCCCAGAAACCACAAGAAGCTCAAGAGATTCCAAAAACTCTTGAAGTTGCTGTAGATGAACTTGTAGAAGAGCCAACAAAACCTGCAGAGCCGCAGCCCCAGCCCGTAATATGGGAACGCGGTAAGAAGAAGCCGAAGCAGCCACAAGAGCAAGAGATTCAAAAGACTCTAGAAGTTGTTGAAGATATTTTGGTAGAAGAGGAACCTGAGTCTGTACAGCCGCAGCCTGTCGCGTGGGAACGCGGCAAGAAGAAAAAGATCCAACCAAAACCCCAGGAAGTTACAGAGCAACCAATTGAAGAAGCGCCACAAAAGACCTATGAGGAAGCTGTAGATGAATTACCAACTGAGCCTCAGGAGCAAGACAAACCCCAGCCAGTTCCATGGCAGCGTGGAAAGAAAAAACCGCAACAGCCTGTCGAAGTTATCGAACAAGTCCAACCGGATGAAGTCGATGCCCATATTGAAGAAATTGTCGAAGAAAAAGATATTGAAGAAACCCGTAAGGTTAGGAAAATAAAGAAACCAAAGGCTAAGCCAACAAAATTAGAACCAGAAGTTGAGCAAACTGAAGAACAAGAAGAAGTCGAAGAGGAACAGCCACAAGAAATTGAGGAGACAGTACCTACGACTGAAGAGCCCAAGGCAAAGAAACCAGCTATTAAGCCTGTGGAAGTGGAGCAAGTGGAAAAGGTAACACTTAAGCCTGTTCCTAGAAAGCAACAACCTCTTCCAGAGAAAGAACAAATTGAAGAGGTTTCTTTGAAACCATTGAAAAAGGCTGCAGTTGTTAAAGAGACAATCAAACCAGAAGCTACGGAAGCTGAACTCATTGAGAGTGAAGAAGATGTCGTTGAAGAACAAATTGTGGACGTTACTAAAAAGCGAGTTAAGAAGAAAAAGCCTAAGAAGAAGGTCACAGAAGAAGACAGCATTGAGGAACCACTTGAAGATATTGAAGAACCAATCGAAGAAGCTCAACCAGAAGAACCCACCGAAGACGTTGCTGAGGAAATTATTGAAGAAACACCCATCGAGGAGACTCAACAGAAAGTAACGAAGCCGAAACCAAAGAGAGAAGAAATTGTAGAAAAGGTTGAAGAAGTTTCTTTGAAAAAGGTTACTAGGCCCAAAAAACAATTACCTCAGGAAGCGACGATCGAGGAAGTACGTCTTAAGCCAACAAAACGCACAGCAGCTAAGCCTGAAGAAGTTAAATTGGAAGAAGTTGACTTGCAGCATGTCGAGAAGGTGGATGAAACCATCGTGCAAGAAGAAAAGCGCAAGACTAAAAAAGTAAAGAAGCCGAAGCATGAAGATCTGCCTGAAATATCAGATGCAGAACCAACAGAGTTGGAAGAGGCCGAGCACATAGATATTGAAAAAGAGCCTAAGATTGAAGAGGCACCAGCTCAAGTGCCATGGGAAAGAGGAAAGAAGAAGAAGCCAGTTGAACAGCCTTTAGAAGAAAAACAATGGCCAACGGGTAAGCGCCGACCACTAGCTCAAGAAGAACCAGAAGAAGTTCAGCTTAAGCCAATACCAGCAAAACCAATCGAAGAGCCGCAGCGTCCAGAAAAAGCAATACCAGGACCCGAGCTTGTACCCGAAGAGCGGCCAAAGAGCGAAGACGAAGATGTAGAACTGGAGCCGCTTCAACTTCCAGAAGAAAAGCCGCCCAAGGAAAAAGTAAAGAAAGAAAAAAAGAAAAAGCCCAAACTGAAAAAGGCAACTCCATCCGTCGACGAGGTCTCCGAAGAAATGGCTGAGCCATTTGCAGAGCCAATTGCTGAGGAAGATCAAGTTGAAGAAATTCCTATTGACGACGACAAAGTGGTTGCCGTTTCCGAAGATGTGCTGCCCGAAGAAGAAGTCGTTCCCACGGAAGAATTACCAGAAACCAAGCAAAAGGCCCATAAGAAGAGAACAAAACGTCTTAAGGAAGCCTCAATTGAGGGCCAACCTCAATTACTGGAAGCGGTTGTAGCTGAAATTGAAAAAATAGATGAAACTTCTCAGGAGATCTCACAAAAGACTATTACACTGAAAAAGACTGAAGACTCTAGACCTCAATTTATCACAACTGAACAGCTCATTGAACTCGATGTTGAAGATGTTCGAAGAGACTTAGAAATGAAAGTCACCTCTAATATTATTAAGAAGGAGAAACGGCGGGTTGTACTTGATGATAGTCAGCCATTGCCAGAACTGGAGCTGATTACGCAGAAACGAATCCAGGAGGGTATTGACAAGGTCGCCGATGAAGAACTAATTGAAGATCAGCAGTTGATACAAAATCTGGAGGAGACTACCACCTCTGAGGTTGTAGGTCAGGAGCGTAAGCTGGTTAAGAAGAAAAAGAAGGAAATCAAGCCGCCCCGAATCACAGAAAAGCTTCGCCCCCGACAATGCATTCCGGAAGAGCCTACTGTGCTTGAGTGCAAGGTTGAGGGTGTACCATTCCCAGAAATCAATTGGTACTTTAACGATATACTTTTATTCGCTTCGGAAAAGTATGAAATAACAGTTGTTGAGCAAGTAGCTCAGCTTAAAATAGCTAAGGTGACCCCAAGCGATGTCGGTGTCTACACATGCGAGGCCAAGAATGAAGCTGGAGTTGCTACATCCCGTACCAATATTATATTAGGTAAGTCAACCATTAAATGGATCCCCACTTTCTTATATAGCATATCTATCTATTTGTCATTTTAAATTCCTAAATCAAAACCCATAATTCACACGTTGCGTGAACATTACAACGTTTGAAAACAACCTTTTACCAATGACCTCCTTTCGTTTCCCCTATCTGTATTTAAATTGCCCAATACACCACAAACACACGATCTATAAATTTTACTTATTCATATTAAATGCAGAAAAAGAACAAGGAGTTCCTCCACAATTCACGAAACCGTTGAAGATAGTGTTTACAGAAGAAAAAGAACCTGAGCGATTAAAGGTTACAGTTACCTGTCAGGTCACCGGTAAGCCGATCCCTCAGGTTCAATGGTACCGGGGAACTGAAGAGGTTATACCAAGCGAGACAGTTCAAATGTTCTATAATGAGGAAACTGGCGATGTGGCACTAGAAATTATCAACCCCACACCGAACGAGGCAATAACCTACACAGTCCAAGCACAGAATCAGTTCGGCCGTGCTATTGGAAATGCCAATATTATGAGTCGACTCGATGAGGAGCCTAAAGAGATATTAAAGGCTCCTACTGTTACTCCACTGAGTGCTGTTGTTATACCAAACGGTGGAACTTTGTTCTTTGAGGCCAAATATGATGGCATGCCAAAGCCAGAAATTAAATGGCTGCGTAATGGCCGCGAAATACAAGAAAATGAAGAAACTATTATTGAAACAACCGAGACAACAACAACAATTAAAATTGTAAACATGACTCGCAAACGCACAGGCAAATATGAGATATGGGCCAAGAACAAAGTAGGTGAAGCCAAATCGTCTGGGTCGGTGGTGGTGACAGATCAAGCGCCCGATAAACAAATTAAGCCTCCACGCTTCATACAGCCATTGGAGCCAAAGTTCTTCGAGGAACACGAGGTCGTCATACTTGAAGCAGTTGTTGAGTCGGAACCACTATCGTCGTTCCAATGGTTCGTGCATAATGAACCACTTAAGACCTCCACAGAATGCCGTATTGTTAGTGAGGCAAACAAATCGACTCTTTTGATAGAAGACTTCCAGAAGAAGTTTGCGGGACCGTACACTTGCCGAGCGGAAAATGTTGGTGGATCAGTCACATCAACAGCTACAGTTAATTTGCTCGAGACATTGCCTCAGGAAGAAGCCGTAGAATTTGAATCGCCACGTTTCATTGAAGAGCTCATTGCTCCCGTGGAGGTTATGGATGGTGAAGCTCTGCTACTTACATGCAAGGTCACGGGCAAGCCGACGCCAAAGGTTGAATGGTACCACAATAAGGAAAAAATCACAGAGACTAAAGAAACAACAATATCGCAAGACTTACAGGGCATATGTCAGCTGAAAATAACTGAAGTGTTCCCTGAAAATGAGGGTCAATACAAATGTGTTGCTTCGAATAAGATTGGCAAAAGCGTTACCAAGACAACTGTTAATATTCAAGGTACATTCAGTATCAATTGATAATACAACTCGTTAACTTTATAGTATTTATTAGTGAATTGTAAAGAAACCTTTTCGACACAATACACTATTTGCATCCACTTATGTATAGGTTTTCAAATAACCACACACTCTCCACTATCCTGTCTTTGATTGCCTCGACCAAACTTCCTCGTACTAACTAACTTTGTGGTCAACTTGCATTTGCATGAGAATCTCAAAAATACACCTTTCTTTTTTCTATTGTATGACCATACATATGTGTATGGAATTTACATACTCTTTTGTATATATATTTTCCTGTTTCCTTTGTTGCGCCCATCGAGTTTACGCAGCCTATTAAATAAATAAATCATTTTTTAGCATTTGAATATATCCCCGATTCTGAAATCACTGGACTCACAGGATCTGAGGAGGATCTACTTGATAGAGTAAGCGTAATTGTCGAAATGCCGCGCCTAGGCTCCCATTCTAATGCAATCTATATATGTAACGCCACTATTCTAGACCATCTCAATCGACGAACAAGCACCGAAAATTGTTAAGAAACTACCAGAAAAAATCGAACCCAAAGAGGGTGAACAAGCGAAACTGGAAGTTAAGGTTATTGGTAAGCCCAAACCAAAAGTCAAATGGCTGCGCGACGACGAAGAGATATTTGCTTCCGAGGAATATCAAATCGAAAATTTCGAAGATGGCACATCAGTGCTGGTCATCAATCATGTATATCCAGATGATTTGGGCACAATTAGTTTTGAAGCCTACAATCCGTTGGGTGTGGCAGTGACGACGGCGCTTTTCGCAGTCGAAGGTACTATTATGTTTGATATGGTTTCCTCTGCATACTTTACTATATGTGAAGTATTATACAAGTATATATATATATATAATACCAAACACATGAGTTTGGATTTGTCAGTAAACTTGTCTTTCAGATTGCATCGTTGCCAAATATTTTAATGTTCTTACCTTACTTGCTAAACATGTTCCACCAATTAATACCCCACCCTGACTTCCCTTTTGCGATACACTTATGACTCTCACCCACACTTTCAGGAACGATATCTACACATTTAAATTACTAGGCGATAAAATCAAATTGATATTGTTTCTCTTCAATTTATTTATTTCTCAAATAATAAATTGTTTTGCATTTATTACCTTTTAATTTATGTGCTCTACAAAAGGCATCGTTGGATCAAAGGATTATCGAAAGCCAGAATGGGTAACTCATATGGAAGAAATGCAAATCGCACTAAAAGGTATGTTTAATTTAATACAAACTTTAACACCTTCAACTGCTGTTATGTGTATATGTGTTTTAATTTTGTGTCCCCCAATACACACACAAATGTCTTTAGTATAATTGTCTTTAAACAAACAATTCCCAAACTCTGTCTCTTCTTCTGTCTGTCTCTACTTATGTTATTTTGTTTCGTCCAATGTATCGTTCAACAAAGAATATACTTATAAGGAACTTATGTGAACTTGTGTAGTGTACCCCCAGAAGCTTACAGCAATGTGGCTTTATAATTTCTCCAATGCCAGCCATAGGGCTTACTACCCACCCCTCAGTACCTATATTAAACCATAATACCACTCCACAGTAAACGCCAATAGATTACAATTATTTTCGTATATAAAAATATATGTATTTTTTACAGTATTTCATCTGCAAGTACTTAATTGGTTGTGTTTTAGTTTCATAAATTCATCAAAACTCAAATGTGCTAACATTATTATTTTTAAATTCTTTCCAAGGAAATTTTATAATCGTAATACTCCCAAAGCGCAGCTGCCATTTTCCTACTAAAACAAAACAAAAAGAAATTAACAATTAAGTATATTTTGCTCATGTTATGTATTTGTATAAACTGACCAAACTATTTTGCACCTATATGTGTGTACCAAAACGCTGCATATAGCTAATATTCACACTCTATACTCGTATATAAAACAGACAAACAAATTACAAAGTATTTGAGAAACTCTCAGTCACCTGAACAGAACAATTATGCCCGTGGATTTATTATAAATCAGGGCTCTACACAAATGTTGTAAGTATAGTATGTAAAAACACACAGAACACAGACGCCTTGTTGTATGAGTTGTCGGCATTTGTAGAGAGTAGTATCTAATCCAAGGATATGTGATGCAATTTTTGTGCTTATAGCTGCTAAATGCTCGCCATCGCTGCTTAATGAAATGCGTGACGCCCGCGCTGCGCCCGGCGAAACGGGAAAGTTCTCAGTACAATTTGCAGGCAATCCATGTCCAGGTATAGTATGCTATTGGAAATACAAATTAAATCGGAGGGGGGAGCTGTTAAAGCCGTTGTCAATGCTGACTGATGTAGTGTGGTTCTTTTGATTTTAGATGTACAGTGGTATTTCAACAATGTACAGCTTAGGGAATCGGAAAAGTATCACATGATAGTGCAGGAATCAGAGGCCTCACTAGAGATTATCAATATTACAAATGAGGACTGTGGCTATTATAATTGCAAATTGATTAACGAAATTGGCATGACAATGACTCGTGCTAAGTTCGATATATCCTCAACGTCAAGCAAGATCGAAGAGATGGAGCTTGAGCAAAGAAAGTCGTCTAAGACGACTGTAAAGAAGAAAGCTGGTAAAAAGACCACAAGCACGTTAATCAAGAAGACGGGCGTTGCCGATAGACAGACAGTTCATAAAACTGAAATCGAAATAGTGCCAGCAACTGTAACCGAAACAACCATGAATGTTTTTAAAGTTCGGCAACCGGTCTCTATATTAGTGGAGCAGAGTGGAATTTCTGAAGAAATGATTGTTAAAGATCGCAAAATAGCTGATGCCGAACTCCTGAAGAGCAAAATAATTGAAGAAGTTGAGGAAGAAGAGGAGGAGGAGGAGCTCCTTGAGAAAAAGGAGTTTATATCAAGCAAGAGTATTGAGATAAGAAAAACCGTTGAGTTGATAAAAACGAAGATATCTCAGAAAAGCATACAAATTGAAGATATCCGTGAGATAAGTCATCACGAGGAAGTGCAATGGTTGCTTGAATCCATCGAAGCCGAGTCTTTTGGCAAAATCGGCGAAGCGGCTCTGAGAGATCTTGCAACGATTGGTTTACTTTTGCGACACGGCTGCAATCATTATGAAATAACGTACATGTACGAGCAGAACATTTTCATATCACTACAAAAGCCCGAGTCCCAATCCGCACTGGTACAACTTGTAGAACGTGAGGGTCACGAGGAGCTGATCACACAGATATTGAGTGAATCATCGAATGAGGATGAAACTATATTAGCAGCGACAGTCGGCTTTAAAGCATTCATTCGCATGATACAGACGTATGAGATAACGATTGAGATGGTTATACGTAAATTTGTTAGGGAAGATTTCATCTCGCACGACTGGAAAATATGTGGAAAAGAGGTTTGAGCTTTGTTCACTGTTTTCGTGATTGTTTTTTTTTTCTTCTCTCTGTCGTAATTTTCAGAGCATTGTGAAAACTGAAATGCATTTAAAATTGTTATAAATTATTTTTCAATTATTGGAAACTAGTACAAACGAACGCATTTCAAATTACAACTATACATACGAGTATGTGCAGTTATACCTTTCATAATGCTGCAATCTAAAATCTTCTTCTTAATTTGGTGTATTGATTTTGTTCTTCATTTTTATTTAATCTGATATTTAAATGAATGTAGAGAATAGTAGAGACTTCGCAGATTATTGAAAGTCATGAGGCTGTAACACATATGAAAATCGGTGAGTAAGAGTGTTAATTTTTTTTTGCATTCTATAGCTTATAGAGCGTAATTGTAATTCGATGTAGATATTGCACACTTACTCAATAGCTGTTTTATTTCTTTTTATTTTGAACATGCAAAACTGCTTTGTAAAACTTACCTCCGCTTCACGTGCCAATCCCAACAAAAATCTAACACAACCAACCGTAGAGGAAACATTTGTCGAGGAGCGCACGATAGTTGTCAAAGAAGGTTTGAACATAAACACAGATGAACTGTAAAACCAAACAATACCTGTATACTTAAATCCGCCAAACGATGTACCCTACGAACTACCAACACATATATGCTGTTTAATAATATTATTAATTTATGCGCCAATTTTACGTATTAATGCAAAACAATAATAAATATTGACTTCTAAATATATAACAATTAAATTTTTGTTAAACCTCAAAATCATGTGTATATTCTAAAAAGACGACATGCAACAGACCATCAATATAAGTATTAACATCGCCTATTAATTGCTAATTACCACCACTTTATGCTTTCCGCTGTATATACACACATATCCCCAAGAAGATACTATCGCTGTTGTCATATAAGCTTGCCAATTCAATACTTTTCAGAATCTTAATCAAAAATTTTAACTATTGCCCAGTGCTATTACATGCTTACTTACTATATTTATTTAATAGTAATAGTGCACATTTAAGCTTTTTTACTTTTGGCCATTTAATTCATTCGCCGGAAGACTGTTTTTAATATCATGAGGTAAGTAAATGAGTTGGATAGAGTACCATTTGTTTGTCTGTTTAGTCTTTAGTCGTGTACAAAGCTACATTTTCGATAAATATAGTATATCTCAACTATGTATTTTAATACTTACCTTTGTTTAAAATTAAGTCGTTAGCTTTGTCATTAGCCTAAGGAAGAGTATCTGATTGGCTGTATAAATTTTGAAGCTTACACGCAGGTACACCATTGCTCTGCAAGAAATAACAAAATCGTTTTGAATGATTTACTGTATGTTATTAACTGCAACACAAAGAACCGACATTGTTATTGTTTAATTACATTACATTCACAGAAACAACTGCCACAAAAGTGGAAGAACAATTCATTCAGCAAAAAGAACAAGAACTCCAAGTACAAGCTGAGAAAATTGTGCATAAGAAAACCAAATCTAAAAAGCATAAAAAACATACAGAAACAACACATCAACGAGAAATCGTCGATGACATTTTGGCAATTGAAACATCCACAGAAGAACTAAAAACAGAAACTTTACAACAAATTGAAACAAATCAATACGAAACACTGTCCACGCAGAACCTACCAAAAGATATAGTTGAAATCACAGCTATTGCAGAAACTGTAGAACTTTCCACCCCGAAACCAGTGCCAGCCCGAGTACACAAAGATTTAACCCCGCAGAAAATAGTTGCTATCGAAGAGGAGCATTTAACGCTTGATGATATAACCAGTCATTCCGAAAAGTTCATACCAACCAATGAAAGAACAACCGAAAATATAGTGGTCCAAGAACGACATGCTCCCCATGTATTTGAGACTGAGACTAAAGAACCTTCTGATAAACTAAGACCCACTAAGCTACCAAAGACTGTAACAGCCGATATGAAGATAAGTGAATCTCATTCGTTATCCGTTGAAGTGCCCAGCGCAGAGAGTACAACTGAGAAACTGAAGCCATTCGAAATTCCAGTACAGCATACCCAAGGAGAACTTTTACTTTCGCATGAGCTCAACGAAGAGGAGCCATCAGTTTTGCAAACCGTCGAGAAGTTGAAAGACACGAGGATGGAGATTGGTACTGAAATGGCACAAACTCATTTTGTACAACAACAGGGTTTGATGGTAACTGAAGCCATTAGCCATGAACATATGGGTGAAGAATTGCAACCACTAAGACCCCGTGGTCAGCAAATAAGTCCAAATATATTACCAAGTGAAAGCAGCGTTGATGTTGTTGAATACCAGGCGCATGATTCATTGAAAGATCTTATACTAGACGCGAAAATTTCCCCAGAGAGTTCAGTAGCTAATGTAGTTCAGTTTAAGTCTATTACAACGACTTCATCTGAAGCTATGGAAAGCGTAATTGACATAGAGACCCAAATTACGCCTACGAGAGGTGTCGCTGATGTTACGATGAGGCTCGAGGAAGTCCCACTTTCCGTGGAGGAAACGGAAACATTTGAATCTGCTCCGAATGAAAAGACGTTTGCCACTCGGCATTTTGAATTGCAAGCCACGAAAAATTTGGTAATTACCGAAGGTATTATAAATACATCAGCTAATTTGCAAAGTCCAATTGAAGAAGACGTGCCGACATTTTCGATTGATGCCAAAGATGCAGAAATGACTATCGAGACGCAGTCCCACATCATTGCATTTGAAACTGTTTCTACAGAAGATGGTCCGAAAGAAATTATTTCTCCAGATGATGTACCTGCATTTGAAGCGACATTAAGCAGAACTCAACCACTTACTGTCGGCGAGACTCAAGAACAACATTTAGGCGAATTTGCCGAGGAATTGAAAAAGCCCACTTTAGAGTTGTCCAAGCCTGCGAAGAGCACGTTTACTAAATCCCGTGGGATAGCGGATAGAACGGAAGAGTCTATATATGAGTCAGTTGACAGAATTGAAACTGCATTGCCAAGCAGTGTTCAAGGAAAAGCCAACATAACAGACGGTGAATCGGCAGCCGAAGTACAAGCATTGGACATCATTGAGGCAGAGCAGCAGCTTATACTGGAAAAACCAGCATTTGGAGAGGTAGAGCAGAGTTACGTGCAGCAGAAAGCCATTGAAATCAAGCAAGAAACGGCAATTGAAAAGGAAGATGTTCTGCCTTTAGCCCTCCGAAAGCCCGATCAACTTGCTGCAAAGGTGATAGTTCCAGCGGAACTAAAAGTATCCAGTACTCTAGAAGTACATCCAGAAGAAGCACCCGAAGACATTTGTACCGATAGTAATTTGCAAGTCTCAGCCAATACAGCATTTGAAACTAAACCTATTGTGGTATCAAGTGAAACAGATTTGCTGGAAACTAGTGCTTTCTTAGAGCCACAACAAGAACCTGATCTCAGAGCTGGTAGAGTACGTATAGATACAAACGCGCAGCCTTTGGAAGTACTACAAGTACATTTCACTGAAACAAGCACAGAGCTAAATGAAAAAAGACAACAATTACCTTATTCCAATGCAATTACCACAACCGAGGCTTTCAAACATACTGAAGGCATAGAACAAATGCTATTGGACTCAACAAAAGAACATCTAGTGGAAAGCCGACCTAATGTGGCTTCAGCAGAGATCAGCATATCCGCTCAATTCGGAGCTGACATAAGTGAACAGGCTTTTCTGGAGACAGTGCAGCAGCAAAAATCGGAAAAGAGTCCATTGCAAACACAAGCTTCACAAGGTCAACCGGAATTGTTACAACCGCTGGAGGTTAGGTCTTGTCTTTATCTGGAACAAGAATCTACCCTACATCAAGAACCTCAAACTGTTATGGAGAATGCTGCTCTGGGAATAACCAGTGCTTTTCAAGTTGCCAATGCAGTTAGCCCTCAACACATGGAATCATTACAAGACTTTGATGAGAAAATGCAATCCCAACAGAAAGCTCATGTTGATATTGGGGAAATAAGAATAGCTGAGTGTGAAAGCACTTTCCCGTTAGATGCGCTAGAAGACTATTCAACGCCAATATATAAAACATCCACAGTTAGTAATGTCGATATAACTAAAAATCAATCAACTTTACAAACATCAACAACTATTGTAAGTGAAAACACTGAAGAATTATCTGATTATACTATTCCTAGGGTGGAATGTATTGACGAAAGCTTATCGGAGCTTTCACAAAAAACTCCAGTTGTGGAACAAGTTAGGGTGTTGGATAATGTTGCGGACTTAAGCAGCTACTCTCCCAAAACAGAGACGAGTCAATCAACTATTGTCGATGCGTTTCATGAGATTAAGGTTGGACAAACTGAAACATTTGATAAGGAAGATGCACTTAATCAAGAAACTCAGCCAGTGGAGCAAAGAACGAAAATGTCTCTCGATGCTTCAATTGGTGTTGCGTTAAGTGAGCAAGAGAATCCTTTGGAATCTGAGGAAAGCTTAAATATATTACCCACTCACATGCAGAAAGCTATATCAGCAACGCCTGAATCGTTAAAGGTGCCAATAACGGAAGAGGTTCAAGAAAATCAGTCAATAGAAAGGTTGGAAAACTACCCCATTTCAAATCAATTTGCAGAACCAAACTTTGAAATTTCTAATGAAACCATATCCACAAAAGCAATGGTATACGATAATATTTCAAAGCCAGTGGAGTTTATGCAACCAGAGACATTTAAATCGAAATCATCATTGATTTCACATGAGCATAGTACTTTTGGAACAGAATGTTTTGTAATTGATGAAGTGGATAATTTCGATAATAAGCCACATAATGTGGGTAAGACAGCAACAGCACTATTGGATAATTATAGTCAGTCAGCAGTAGCAGAGAGTCAAAGGTTATTGGAATCAGAAACAGCATTTGGAACTGAAGACATCGAATTGATTAATGCTAAAGTAACTGATATTGTACCCGTTCGTCATACTAAGGACGTAGACGAACATACCGTTTTCGAATCAACAGATGATATGGCTAGATTTGGTGCGTTCAGTACATTACACGCAGGAATAGTTCATGAACTGGCACATGAACATGTTACAGACTTACAGCAAGCAATGGAAGGCGCTACAACTCTAAATGTTAAAATGAATTCCTCAGCAGTCGCTACTGAAAACTCAATGCCGTCTAAGCTAAGCTTGCCATTGAGTTCTGAAGTAGTAACAACGGAAAGCACTGAGAAACTTGTGCCTGTTTTCGCAAGTGAAGATGTCGCTCAACACACTTTTTCAGAACAACAACAGGAAGTCATAGTTTCGCAAATAGATTGCATCGAGCTATCCGAGTCCTTCCCAGCTGCCGACATATTATCTGCAAAAGCAGCAACGACTATGGGGGAACTGTTTAAGACTTCACCAGAACTATCAGAGCCGAAAATTTATCAAAAGGAATCAAATATTGAGATAAAAGAGCCTTTGGAAAGGAAAGCAAAGGCCATTCTGGATGATGTTCGGCAAGGCCCTACTATTTCTAATATCGTATCATTTGAAACAACTGAGAAAATTGAACATGCAGCATTGCGCGATCATGCCAATGTAGACAACATTATTTATTGCACTGATGCTAATAAAGTACAGGTCAATGCAGCTGATATAGTCATGCAAAGTGAACAGAATTTCAGTGAGAGGCTACACGGTCAAAATGCAAAAGTATTTATTGAAGGTACAGCACATGAGACGTCAACTGCTGAAGTCGTAGCGTTGGAAAATGTTGGAATCATCGAAGCTCCTATGCAACATAAACTGTTACAAGCTCAAAGAACTTCGAGTGACATTTTAACTAAAACTCACATAACAGAAACTCAGCTTCTCTTGGAAAGGGAAAGTGAAAAAGATATTGAGAATGCAAAGCTGGAACATGCCAGAAGCACAACAGATGAAATCAATATCCACAAAACTATATCCCAAATAAGTCCATATGAAATAGTAAGCGAACTGACACAAAAAGATACAGAGGAGCATGTTGTCAAAGTTCTTATCGATAAAGATACAAGCGTTAGCCAGTTGATATCCATACAGGAAAGTCTTATAAAAGAAACTGATTTGACTCCATTAACTTCAAAAGTGGAAAAAGCACAAGTTGCAAATACTGAACAAATGCCTCTACAAACAGAAGAAATTTTTGGACTAAGCTCAATAGAAGAAACTTATAATTTGAAAAAAGAAAATGCTCAACTCAAGTTTCAGTCTGAGAATGAAGCGACAAATGTAATTGAACAGTACACATTTGAGCCATCTTTGAAACTTTCTGATCTAAAAATGGACCATATGGAGTGTGGTCCTGGTTTAATAAAATATGTTACTCAGCCCCTAGAAACATCAACAATAAACATATACGAAAGCGTTAGCAACCAAGATGAATTAGGACCTGCGGTAAATGAAAAATCGGTTGAATCTACTGTGCTGTTGGACTTAAATGTTTCGGTGGTACAAGAATTATCTGCTTTATCGGCAATAAATAGTTTTGTAAGGCCAGAAACTAAGGAGGAAACTGCGCAACAAATAACCATTTCTAAAGAAGTGACAAATGAAAATATTAAAAAGGAATTTATGCCCACCAACCTAAACGAAGACATAAAACACGAAATACCGTCCATCACTACACAGAGTACGTACCATAATGAAAGAGTAATGATTGAAAAACAACTGAGAATTGCAGCAAAACGGGGGAAAATAAAAAAGAATTTTGTTTTCGATGTTATATATATAAAATTTAGATAGCTCTAAATGTAATCTGGAAATAAATTCTATGAACCTAAAATCTGTACATAAAATTTAAAAAGAGTCTTCATTGAAAATTAATACACCTATACAAATTGGTACATAAGATTAATAATTTTTTTTTACATAGACAGCTTCAACAGAAAAAGTTAGTATATAAATTTTACCTAATAAAATGAAATAACTCTTTTTATAAATTCTGGTAAGTAAGATTGGAGATAGGCTTAAGAAGGTAAAAAGGCGTATTACACCCATTCCAAACCAACCCCTCAAATAAACACATAATACACAGAACAAACAAATACAATTATCAAACAAATAAAAACTTATACTAACCGACACTTCTTTACACAGATCAAAAGCAAGCCACAGACACAAAACACACACAAAATATTACACCCACACAAACAAAAGAAAAGCATGACTTGGACAAAACGGAAACACCAGAAGAAAAAGAAAAATTGGAAGATGATAAAACAAATAAAACCAAACTGCGAACCCGGGTTAAAAAACGCAAGGATGAACCACAAGAGCTACCAGAAGTAGTACAGGAATTGCCTGAAGAAGTTCGTGTTGTCGAAACTGTATCTGAAGATGGAACACCAAAGAAAAAGAAGATCCGCACACGTGTCATTAAGAAGGTCAAGGGTGACAAACAAGAGGTTACGAAGATCGAAACTGTGGAGGAGGATGACAAGCCCACTGAAACAGTAGTCACAGTGGAAGAGGGTCCAGTTGAAGAAGAAACACCAGAAGAAGTCAAAGAACTGCCTGAAGAAGTTCGTGTTGTCGAAACTGTATCTGAAGATGGAACTCCCAAGAAAAAGAAGATCCGCACACGTGTCATTAAGAAGGTCAAGGGTGACAAACAAGAGGTTACCAAGATCGAAACTGTGGAGGAGGATGACAAGCCAACTGAAACAGTAGTCACAGTGGAAGAGGGTCCAGTTGAAGAAGAACAACCAGAAGAAGTTAAGGAACTTCCCGAAGAAGTTCGTGTTGTCGAAACTGTATCTGAAGATGGAACTCCTAAGAAGAAGAAGATCCGCACACGTGTCATTAAGAAGGTCAAGGGTGACAAACAAGAGGTTACCAAGATCGAAACTGTGGAGGAGGATGACAAGCCAACTGAAACAGTAGTCACAGTGGAAGAGGGTCCAGTTGAAGAAGAACAAGCAGAAGAAGTTAAGGAGCTTCCTGAAGAAGTTCGTGTTGTCGAAACTATTTCTGAAGATGGAAAGCCCAAGAAGAAGAAGATCCGCACGCGTGTCATTAAAAAGGTCAAGGGTGACAAACAAGAGGTTACCAAGATCGAAACTGTGGAAGAGGATGACAAGCCAACTGAAACAGTAGTCACAGTGGAAGAGGGTCCAGTTGAAGAAGAAAAACCAGAAGAAGTTAAGGAGCTTCCTGAAGAAGTTCGTGTGGTCGAAACTGTATCTGAAGATGGAAAGCCCAAGAAGAAGAAGATCCGCACACGTGTCATTAAGAAGGTCAAGGGTGACAAACAAGAGGTTACCAAGATCGAAACTGTGGAAGAGGATGACAAGCCAACTGAAACAGTAGTCACAGTGGAAGAGGGTCCAGTTGAAGAAGAAAAACCAGAAGAAGTTAAGGAGCTTCCTGAAGAAGTTCGTGTGGTCGAAACTGTATCTGAAGATGGAAAGCCCAAGAAGAAGAAGATCCGCACACGTGTCATTAAGAAGGTCAAGGGTGACAAACAAGAGGTTACCAAGATCGAAACTGTGGAAGAGGATGATAAGCCAACTGAAACAGTGGTCACAGTGGAAGAGGGTTCAGTTGAAGAAGAACAACCAGAAAAAGTTAAAGAACTGCCCGAAGAAGTTCGTGTTGTCGAAACTGTATCTGAAGATGGAAAGCCCAAGAAAAAGAAGATCCGCACGCGTGTCATTAAAAAGGTCAAGGGTGACAAACAAGAGGTTACCAAGATCGAAACAGTGGAAGAGGATGACAAGCCAACTGAAACAGTAGTCACAGTGGAAGAGGGTCCAATTGAAGAAGAAAAACCAGAAGAAGTTAAGGAGCTTCCTGAAGAAGTTCGTGTTGTCGAAACTATTTCTGAAGATGGAAAGCCCAAGAAAAAGAAGATCCGCACACGTGTCATTAAGAAGGTCAAGGGTGACAAACAAGAGGTTACCAAGATCGAAACTGTGGAAGAGGATGACAAACCAACTGAAACAGTAGTCACAGTGGAAGAGGGTCCAGTTGAAGAAGAACAATTAGAAGAAGTTAAGGAACTGCCCGAAGAAGTTCGTGTTGTCGAAACTGTATCTGAAGATGGAAAGCCCAAGAAGAAGAAGATCCGCACGCGTGTCATTAAAAAGGTCAAGGGTGACAAACAAGAGGTTACCAAGATCGAAACTGTGGAAGAGGATGACAAGCCAACTGAAACAGTAGTCACAGTGGAAGAGGGTCCAGTTGAAGAAGAAAAACCAGAAGAAGTTAAGGAGCTTCCTGAAGAAGTTCGTGTTGTCGAAACTATTTCTGAAGATGGAAAGCCCAAGAACAAGAAGATCCGCACGCGTGTCATCAAAAAGATCAAGGGTGACAAACAAGAGGTTACCAAGATTGAAACTGTGGAAGAGGATGACAAGCCAACTGAAACAGTAGTCACAGTGGAAGAGGGTCCAGTTGAAGAAGAACAACCAGAAGAAGTTAAAGAACTGCCCGAAGAAGTTCGTGTTGTCGAAACTGTATCTGAAGATGGAAAGCCCAAGAAAAAGAAAATCCGCACACGTGTCATTAAGAAGGTCAAGGGTGACAAACAAGAGGTTACGAAGATCGAAACTGTGGAGCAGGATGACAAACCAACTGAAACAGTAGTCACAGTGGAAGAGGGTCCAGTTGAAGAAGAACAACCAGAAGAAGTTAAGGAACTGCCCGAAGAAGTTCGTGTTGTCGAAACTGTATCTGAAGATGGAAAGCCCAAGAAGAAGAAGATCCGCACACGTGTCATTAAGAAGGTCAAGGGTGACAAACAAGAGGTTACCAAGATCGAAACTGTGGAAGAGGATGACAAGCCAACTGAAACAGTAGTCACAGTGGAAGAGGGTCCAGTTGAAGAAGAACAACCAGAAGAAGTTAAGGAGCTTCCTGAAGAAGTTCGTGTTGTCGAAACTGTATCTGAATATGGAAAGCCCAAGAAGAAGAAGATCCGCACGCGTGTAATTAAGAAGGTCAAGGGTGACAAACAAGAGGTTACCAAGATCGAAACTGTGGAGGAGGATGACAAGCCAACTGAAACAGTAGTCACAGTGGAAGAGGGTCCAGTTGAAGAAGAACAACCAGAAGAAGTTAAAGAACTGCCCGAAGAAGTTCGTGTTGTCGAAACTGTATCTGAAGATGGAACTCCTAAGAAAAAGAAGATCCGCACACGTGTCATTAAGAAGGTCAAGGGTGACAAACAAGAGGTTACCAAGATCGAAACTGTGGAGGAGGATGACAAGCCAACTGAAACAGTAGTCACAGTGGAAGAGGGTCCAGTTGAAGAAGAACACCCAGAAGAAGTTAAAGAACTTCCAGAAGAAGTTCGTGTTGTCGAAACTGTATCTGAAGATGGAATTCCTAAGAAAAAGAAGATCCGCACACGTGTCATTAAGAAGGTCAAGGGTGACAAACAAGAGGTTACCAAGATCGAAACTGTGGAAGAGGATGACAAGCCAACTGAAACAGTAGTCACAGTGGAAGAGGGTCCAGTTGAAGAAGAAAAACCAGAAGAAGTTAAGGAACTGCCCGAAGAAGTTCGTGTTGTCGAAACTGTATCTGAAGATGGAATTCCTAAGAAAAAGAAGATCCGCACACGTGTCATTAAGAAGGTCAAGGGTGACAAACAAGAGGTTACCAAGATCGAAACTGTGGAAGAGGATGACAAGCCAGCTGAAACAGTAGTCACAGTGGAAGAGGGTCCAGTTGAAGAAGAAGAACCAGAAGAAGTTAAAGAACTTCCAGAAGAAGTTCGTGTTGTCGAAACTATTTCTGAAGATGGAAAGCCCAAGAAGAAGAAGATCCGCACGCGTGTCATTAAAAAGGTCAAGGGTGACAAACAAGAGGTTACCAAGATCGAAACTGTGGAAGAGGATGACAAGCCAACTGAAACAGTAGTCACAGTGGAAGAGGGTCCAGTTGAAGAAGAAAAACCAGAAGAAGTTAAGGAACTGCCCGAAGAAGTTCGTGTTGTCGAAACTGTATCTGAAGATGGAATTCCTAAGAAAAAGAAGATCCGCACACGTGTCATTAAGAAGGTCAAGGGTGACAAACAAGAGGTTACCAAGATCGAAACTGTGGAAGAGGATGACAAGCCAACTGAAACAGTAGTCACAGTGGAAGAGGGTCCAGTTGAAGAGGAACAACCAGAAGAAGTTAAGGAACTGCCCGAAGAAGTTCATGTTGTCGAAACTGTATCTGAAGATGGAAAGCCCAAGAAAAAGAAGATCCGCACACGTGTCATTAAGAAGGTCAAGGGTGACAAACAAGAGGTTACCAAGATCGAAACTGTGGAAGAGGATGACAAGCCAGCTGAAACAGTAGTCACAGTGGAAGAGGGTCCAGTTGAAGAAGAACAACTAGAAGAAGTTAAAGAACTGCCCGAAGAAGTTCGTGTTGTCGAAACTGTATCTGAAGATGGAAAGCCCAAGAAGAAGAAGATCCGCACACGTGTCATTAAGAAGGTCAAGGGTGGCAAACATGAGGTTACCAAGATCGAAACTGTGGAGGAGGATGACAAGCCAACTGAAACAGTAGTCACAGTGGAAGAGGGTCCAGTTGAAGAGGAACAACCAGAAAAAGTTAAGGAACTACCCGAAGAAGTTCGTGTTGTCGAAACTGTATCTGAAGATGGAAAGCCCAAGAAGAAGAAGATCCGCACGCGTGTCATTAAGAAGGTCAAAGGTGACAAACAAGAGGTTACCAAGATTGAAACTGTGGAAGAGGATGACAAGCCAACTGAAACAGTAGTCACAGTGGAAGAGGGTCCAGTTGAAGAGGAACAACTAGAAGAAGTTAAGGAACTGCCCGAAGAAGTTCGTGTGGTCGAAACTGTATCTGAAGATGGAACTCCCAAGAAGAAGAAGATCCGCACAGGTGTCATTAAGAAGGTCAAGGGTGACAAACAAGAGGTTACCAAGATCGAAACTGTGGAAGAGGATGACAAGCCAGCTGAAACAGTAGTCACAGTGGAAGAGGGTCCAGTTGAAGAAGAAGAACCAGAAGAAGTTAAAGAACTTCCAGAAGAAGTTCGTGTTGTCGAAACTATTTCTGAAGATGGAAAGCCCAAGAAGAAGAAGATCCGCACGCGTGTCATTAAAAAGGTCAAGGGTGACAAACAAGAGGTTACCAAGATCGAAACTGTGGAAGAGGATGACAAGCCAACTGAAACAGTAGTCACAGTGGAAGAGGGTCCAGTTGAAGAAGAAAAACCAGAAGAAGTTAAGGAGCTTCCTGAAGAAGTTCGTGTGGTCGAAACTGTATCTGAAGATGGAACTCCCAAGAAGAAGAAGATCCGCACACGTGTCATTAAGAAGGTCAAGGGTGACAAACAAGAGGTTACCAAGATCGAAACTGTGGAAGAGGATGACAAGCCAGCTGAAACAGTAGTCACAGTGGAAGAGGGTCCAGTTGAAGAAGAACAACCAGAAGAAGTTAAAGAACTTCCAGAAGAAGTTCGTGTTGTCGAAACTATTTCTGAAGATGGAAAGCCCAAGAAGAAGAAGATCCGCACGCGTGTCATTAAAAAGGTCAAGGGTGACAAACAAGAGGTTACCAAGATCGAAACTGTGGAAGAGGATGACAAGCCAACTGAAACAGTAGTCACAGTGGAAGAGGGTCCAGTTGAAGAAGAAAAACCAGAAGAAGTTAAGGAGCTTCCTGAAGAAGTTCGTGTTGTCGAAACTATTTCTCAAGATGGAAAGCCCAAGAAAAAGAAGATCCGCACGCGTGTCATCAAAAAGGTCAAGGGTGACAAACAAGAGGTTACCAAGATCGAAACTGTGGAAGAGGATGACAAGCCAACTGAAACAGTAGTCACAGTGGAAGAGGGTCCAGTTGAAGAGGAACAACCAGAAGAAGTTAAAGAACTGCCCGAAGAAGTTCGTGTTGTCGAAACTGTATCTGAAGATGGAAAGCCCAAGAAGAAGAAGATCCGCACGCGTGTCATTAAGAAGGTCAAGGGTGGCAAACAAGAGGTTACCAAGATTGAAACTGTGGAAGAGGATGACAAGCCAACTGAAACAGTAGTCACAGTGGAAGAGGGTCCAGTTGAAGAGGAACAACCAGAAGAAGTTAAAGAACTGCCCGAAGAAGTTCGTGTTGTCGAAACTGTATCTGAAGATGGAAAGCCCAAGAAAAAGAAGATCCGCACGCGTGTCATCAAAAAGGTCAAGGGTGACAAACAAGAGGTTACCAAGATCGAAACTGTGGAGGAGGATGATAAGCCAACTGAAACAGTAGTCACAGTGGAAGAAGGTCCAGTTGAAGAAGAACAACCAGAAGAAGTTAAAGAACTGCCCGAAGAAGTTCGTGTTGTCGAAACTGTATCTGAAGATGGTAAGCCCAAGAAGAAGAAGATCCGCACACGTGTCATTAAAAAGGTTAAGGGTGACAAACAAGAGGTTACCAAGATCGAAACTGTGGAAGAGGATGACAAGCCAACTGAAACAGTAGTCACAGTAGAAGAGGGTCCAGTCGAAGAAGAAAAACCAGAAGAAGTTAAGGAGCTTCCTGAAGAAGTTCGTGTTGTCGAAACTGTATCTGAAGATGGATTGCCCAAGAAAAAGAAGATCCGCACGCGTGTCATTAAGAAGGTCAAGGGTGACAAACAAGAGGTTACCAAAATCGAAACTGTGGAGGAGGATGATAAGCCAACTGAAACAGTAGTCACAGTGGAAGAAGGTCCAGTTGAAGAAGAACAATTAGAAGAAGTTAAGGAACTGCCCGAAGAAGTTCGTGTTGTCGAAACTGTATCTGAAGATGGAAAGCCCAAGAAGAAGAAGATCCGCACGCGTGTCATTAAAAAGGTCAAGGGTGACAAACAAGAGGTTACCAAGATCGAAACTGTGGAAGAGGATGACAAGCCAACTGAAACAGTAGTCACAGTGGAAGAGGGTCCAGTTGAAGAGGAGCAACCAGAAGAAGTTAAAGAACTGCCCGAAGAAGTTCGTGTTGTCGAAACTGTATCTGAAGATGGAAAGCCCAAGAAGAAGAAGATCCGCACGCGTGTCATTAAGAAGGTCAAGGGTGACAAACAAGAGGTTACCAAGATTGAAACTGTGGAAGAGGATGACAAGCCAACTGAAACAGTAGTCACAGTGGAAGAGGGTCCAGTTGAAGAAGAACAACCAGAAGAAGTTAAAGAACTGCCCGAAGAAGTTCGTGTTGTCGAAACTGTATCTGAAGATGGTAAGCCCAAGAAGAAGAAGATCCGCACACGTGTCATTAAAAAGGTTAAGGGTGACAAACAAGAGGTTACCAAGATCGAAACTGTGGAAGAGGATGACAAGCCAACTGAAACAGTAGTCACAGTAGAAGAGGGTCCAGTCGAAGAAGAAAAACCAGAAGAAGTTAAGGAGCTTCCTGAAGAAGTTCGTGTTGTCGAAACTGTATCTGAAGATGGAAAGCCCAAGAAAAAGAAGATCCGCAAGCGTGTCATTAAGAAGGTCAAGGGTGACAAACAAGAGGTTACCAAAATCGAAACTGTGGAGGAGGATGACAAGCCAACTGAAACAGTAGTCACAGTGGAAGAGGGTCCAGTTGAAGAAGAACAACCAGAAGAAGTTAAAGAACTGCCCGAAGAAGTTCGTGTTGTCGAAACTGTATCTGAAGATGGAAAGCCCAAGAAAAAGAAGATCCGCACACGTGTCATCAAAAAGGTCAAGGGTGACAAACAAGAGGTTACCAAGATCGAAACTGTGGAAGAGGATGACAAGCCAACTGAAACAGTAGTCACAGTGGAAGAGGGTCCAGTTGAAGAGGAACAACCAGAAGAAGTTAAAGAACTGCCCGAAGAAGTTCGTGTTGTCGAAACTGTATCTGAAGATGGAAAGCCCAAGAAGAAGAAGATCCGCACGCGTGTCATTAAGAAGGTCAAGGGTGACAAACAAGAGGTTACCAAGATTGAAACTGTGGAAGAGGATGACAAGCCAACTGAAACAGTAGTCACAGTGGAAGAGGGTCCAGTTGAAGAGGAACACCCAGAAGAAGTTAAGGAACTTCCCGAAGAAGTTCGTGTTGTCGAAACTGTATCTGAAGATGGAAAGCCCAAGAAGAAGAAGATCCGCACGCGTGTCATTAAGAAGGTCAAGGGTGACAAACAAGAGGTTACCAAGATCGAAACTGTGGAAGAGGATGACAAGCCAACTGAAACAGTAGTCACAGTAGAAGAGGGTCCAGTCGAAGAAGAAAAACCAGAAGAAGTTAAGGAGCTTCCTGAAGAAGTTCGTGTTGTCGAAACTGTATCTGAAGATGGAAAGCCCAAGAAAAAGAAGATCCGCACACGTGTCATTAAGAAGGTCAAGGGTGACAAACAAGAGGTTACCAAGATTGAAACTGTGGAAGAGGATGACAAGCCAACTGAAACAGTAGTCACAGTGGAAGAGGGTCCAGTTGAAGAGGAACAACCAGAAGAAGTTAAGGAACTACCCGAAGAAGTTTGTGTGGTCGAAACTGTATCTGAAGATGGAAAGCCCAAAAAGAAGAAGATTCGCACACGTGTCATTAAGAAGGTCAAGGGTGACAAACAAGAGGTTACCAAGATCGAAACTGTGGAGGAGGATGACAAGCCAGCTGAAACAGTAGTCACAGTGGAAGAGGGTCCAGTTGAAGAAGAAGAAGTTAAGGAACTGCCCGAAGAAGTTCGTGTGGTCGAAACTGTATCTGAAGATGGAAAGCCCAAGAAGAAGAAGATCCGCACGCGTGTCATTAAGAAGGTCAAGGGTGACAAACAAGAGGTTACCAAGATTGAAACTGTGGAAGAGGATGACAAGCCAACTGAAACAGTAGTCACAGTGGAAGAGGGTCCAGTTGAAGAGGAACAACCAGAAGAAGTTAAAGAACTGCCCGAAGAAGTTCGTGTTGTCGAAACTGTATCTGAAGATGGAAAGCCCAAGAAGAAGAAGATCCGCACGCGTGTCATTAAGAAGGTCAAGGGTGACAAACAAGAGGTTACCAAGATCGAAACTGTGGAAGAGGATGACAAGCCAACTGAAACAGTAGTCACAGTAGAAGAGGGTCCAGTCGAAGAAGAAAAACCAGAAGAAGTTAAGGAGCTTCCTGAAGAAGTTCGTGTTGTCGAAACTGTATCTGAAGATGGAAAGCCCAAGAAAAAGAAGATCCGCACACGTGTCATTAAGAAGGTCAAGGGTGACAAACAAGAGGTTACCAAGATTGAAACTGTGGAAGAGGATGACAAGCCAACTGAAACAGTAGTCACAGTGGAAGAGGGTCCAGTTGAAGAGGAACAACCAGAAGAAGTTAAGGAACTACCCGAAGAAGTTCGTGTGGTCGAAACTGTATCTGAAGATGGAAAGCCCAAAAAGAAGAAGATTCGCACACGTGTCATTAAGAAGGTCAAGGGTGACAAACAAGAGGTTACCAAGATCGAAACTGTGGAGGAGGATGACAAGCCAGCTGAAACAGTAGTCACAGTGGAAGAGGGTCCAGTTGAAGAAGAAGAAGAAGTTAAGGAACTGCCCGAAGAAGTTCGTGTGGTCGAAACTGTATCTGAAGATGGAAAGCCGAAAAAGAAGAAGATTCGCACACGTGTCATTAAGAAGGTCAAGGGTGACAAACAAGAGGTTACCAAGATCGAAACTGTGGAGGAGGATGACAAGCCAGCTGAAACAGTAGTCACAGTGGAAGAGGGTCCAGTTGAAGAAGAACAACCAGAAGAAGTTAAAGAACTGCCCGAAGAAGTTCGTGTTGTCGAAACTGTATCTGAAGATGGAACTCCTAAGAAAAAGAAGATCAAGAGTGACAAACAAGAGGTTACCAAGATCGAAACTGTGGAGGAGGATGACAAGCCAACTGAAACAGTAGTCACAGTGGAAGAGGGTCCAGTTGAAGAAGAACAACCAGAAGAAGTTAAAGAACTGCCCGAAGAAGTTCGTGTTGTCGAAACTGTATCTGACGATGGAACTCCTAAGAAAAAGAAGATCCGCACACGTGTCATTAAGAAGGTCAAGGGTGGCAAACAAGAGGTTACCAAGATCGAAACTGTGGAGGAGGATGACAAGCCAGCTGAAACAGTAGTCACAGTGGAAGAGGGTCCAGTTGAAGAAGAACAACCAGAAGAAGTTAAAGAACTTCCCGAAGAAGTTCGTGTTGTCGAAACTGTATCTGAAGATGGAACTCCCAAGAAGAAGAAGATCCGCACACGTGTCATTAAGAAGGTCAAGGGTGACAAACAAGAGGTTACCAAGATCGAAACTGTGGAAGAGGATGATAAGCCTACAGAAACAGTAGTCACAGTGGAAGAGGGTCCAGTTGAAGAAGAACAACCAGAAGAAGTTAAAGAACTGCCCGAAGAAGTTCGTGTTGTCGAAACTGTATCTGAAGATGGAACTCCCAAGAAGAAGAAGATCCGCACACGTGTCATTAAGAAGGTCAAGGGTGACAAACAAGAGGTTACCAAGATCGAAACTGTGGAGGAGGATGACAAGCCAACTGAAACAGTCGTCACAGTGGAAGAGGGTCCAGTTGAAGAAGAACAACCAGAAGAAGTTAAAGAACTTCCCGAAGAAGTTAAAGAACTTCCCGAAGAAGTTCGTGTGGTCGAAACTGTATCTGAAGATGGAACTCCCAAGAAAAAGAAGATCCGCACGCGTGTCATTAAAAAGGTCAAGGGTGACAAACAAGAGGTTACCAAGATCGAAACTGTGGAGGAGAATGACAAGCCAACTGAAACAGTAGTCACAGTGGAAGAGGGTCCAGTTGAAGAAGAACAACCAGAAGAAGTTAAAGAACTTCCCGAAGAAGTTCGTGTTGTCGAAACTGTATCTGACGATGGAACTCCCAAAAAGAAGAAGATCCGCACACGTGTCATTAAGAAGGTCAAGGGTGACAAACAAGAGGTTACCAAGATCGAAACTGTGGAAGAGGATGATAAGCCTACTGAAACAGTAGTCACAGTGGAAGAGGGTCCAGTTGAAGAAGAACAACCAGAAGAAGTTAAGGAACTGCCCGAAGAAGTTCGTGTTGTCGAAACTGTATCTGAAGATGGAACCCCCAAGAAGAAGAAGATCCGAACACGTGTCATTAAGAAGGTCAAGGGTGACAAACAAGAGGTTACCAAGATCGAAACTGTGGAGGAGGATGACAAGCCAACTGAAACAGTAGTCACAGTGGAAGAGGGTCCAGTTGAAGAAGAACAACCAGAAGAAGTTAAAGAACTGCCCGAAGAAGTTCGTGTTGTCGAAACTGTATCTGAAGATGGAAAGCCCAAGAAAAAGAAGATCCGCACACGTGTCATTAAGAAGGTCAAGGGTGACAAACAAGAGGTTACCAAGATCGAAACTGTGGAAGAGGAGGACAAGCCAGCTGAAACAGTAGTCACAATGGAAGAGGGTCCAGTTGAAGAAGAACAACCAGAAGAAGTTAAAGAACTGCCCGAAGAAATTCGTGTGGTCGAAACTGTATCTGAAGATGGAACTCCTAAGAAAAAGAAAATCCGCACACGTGTAATTAAGAAGGTCAAGGATGACAAACAAGAGGTTACCAAGATCGAAACTGTGGAGGAGGATGACAAACCAGCTGAAACAGTAGTCACAGTGGAAGAGGGTCCACTTGAAGAAGAACAACCAGAAGAAGTTAAGGAACTTCCCGAAGAAGTTCGTGTTGTCGAAACTGTATCTGAAGATGGAACTCCCAAGAAGAAGAAGATCCGCACACGTATAATTAAGAAGGTCAAGGGTGACAAACAAGAGGTTACCAAGATCGAAACTGTGGAGGAAGATGACAAGCCAGCTGAAACAGTAGTCACAGTGGAAGAGGGTCCAGTTGAAGAAGAACAACAAGAGGAAGTTAAGGAACTGCCCGAAGAAGTTCGTGTTGTCGAAACTGTATCTGAAGATGGAACTCCCAAGAAAAAGAAGATCCGAACACGTGTAATTAAGAAGGTCAAGGGTGACAAACAAGAGGTTACCAAGATCGAAACTGTGGAGGAGGATGATAAGCCAACTGAAACAGTAGTCACAGTGGAAGAGGGTCCAGTTGAAGAAGAACAATTAGAAGCAGTTAAGGAACTTCCCGAAGAAGTTCGTGTTGTCGAAACTGTATCTGAAGATGGAAAGCCCATGAAGAAGAAGTTCCGCACACGAGTCATTAAAAAGATCAAGGGTGACAAACAAGAGGTTACCAAGATCGAAACAGTGGAGGAGGATGACAAGCCAACTGAAACAGTGGTCACAGTGGAAGAGGGTCCAGTTGAAGAGGAACAACCAGAAGAAGTAAAGGAACTGCCCGAAGAAGTTCGTGTTGTCGAAACTGTATCTGAAGATGGAACTCCCAAGAAAAAGAAGATCCGAACACGTGTAATTAAGAAGGTCAAGGGTGACAAACAAGAGGTTACCAAGATCGAAACTGTAGAGGAGGATGATAAGCCAACTGAAACAGTAGTCACAGTGGAAGAGGGTCCAGTTGAAGAAGAACAATTAGAAGCAGTTAAGGAACTTCCCGAAGAAGTTCGTGTTGTCGAAACTGTATCTGAAGATGGAACTCCTAAGAAAAAGAAGATCCGCACACGTGTAATTAAAAAGGTCAAGGGTGACAAACAAGAGGTTACCAAGATCGAAACTGTGGAGGAAGATGACAAGCCAACTGAAACAATAGTCACAGTGGAAGAGGGTCCAGTTGAAGAAAAACAACCAGAAGAAGTTAAAGAACTTCCCGAAGAAGTTCGTGTTGTCGAAATTGTATCTGAAGATGGAATTCCCAAGAAGAAGAAGATCCGCACACGTGTCATTAAGAAGGTCAAGGGTGACAAACAAGAGGTTACCAAGATCGAAACTGTGGAGGAGGATGACAAGCCAACTGAAACAGTAGTCACAGTGGAAGAGGGTCCAGTTGAAGAAGAACAACCAGAAGAAGTTAAAGAACTGCCCGAAGAAGTTCGTGTTGTCGAAACTATTTCTGAAGATGGAAAGCCCAAGAAGAAGAAGATCCGCACGCGTGTCATTAAAAAGGTCAAGGGTGACAAACAAGAAGTTACCAAGATCGAAACTGTGGAGGAGGATGATAAGCCAACTGAAACAGTAGTCACAGTGGAAGAGGGTCCAGTTGAAGAAGAACAATTAGAAGCAGTTAAGGAACTTCCCGAAGAAGTTCGTGTTGTCGAAACTATATCTGAAGATGGAAAGCCCATGAAGAAAAAGATCCGCACACGTGTAATTAAGAAGGTCAAGGGTGACAAACAAGAGGTTACCAAGATCGAAACTGTGGAGGAGGATGACAAGCCAGCTGAAACAGTAGTCACAGTGGAAGAGGGTCCAGTTGAAGAAGAACACCCAGAAGAAGTTAAGGAACTTCCCGAAGAAGTTCGTGTTGTCGAAACTGTATCTGAAGATGGAACCCCCAAGAAGAAGAAGATCCGCACACGTGTCATTAAGAAGGTCAAGGGTGACAAACAAGAGGTTACCAAGATCGAAACTGTGGAGGAGGACGACAAGCCAGCTGAAACAGTAGTCACAGTGGAAGAGGGTCCAGTTGAAGAAGAACAACCAGAAGAAGTTAAGGAACTGCCCGAAGAAGTTCGTGTGGTCGAAACTGTATCTGAAGATGGAACTCCTAAGAAAAAGAAGATCCGCACACGTGTCATTAAGAAGGTCAAGGGTGACAAACAAGAGGTTACCAAGATCGAAACTGTGGAGGAGGATGACAAGCCAACTGAAACAGTAGTCACAGTGGAAGAGGGTCCAGTTGAAGAAGAACACCCAGAAGAAGTTAAGGAACTTCCCGAAGAAGTTCGTGTTGTCGAAACTGTATCTGAAGATGGAACTCCTAAGAAGAAGAAGATCCGCACACGTGTAATTAAGAAGGTCAAGGGTGACAAACAAGAGGTTACCAAGATCGAAACTGTGGAGGAGGACGACAAGCCAGCTGAAACAGTAGTCACAGTGGAAGAGGGTCCAGTTGAAGAAGAACAACCAGAAGAAGTTAAAGAACTGCCCGAAGAAGTTCGTGTGGTCGAAACTGTATCTGAAGATGGAAAGCCCATGAAGAAGAAGATCCGAACACGAGTCATTAAAAAGATCAAGGGTGACAAACAAGAGGTTACCAAGATCGAAACTGTGGAGGAGGATGACAAGCCAACTGAAACAGTCGTCACAGTGGAAGAGGGTCCAGTTGAAGAAGAACAACCAGAAGAAGTTAAAGAACTGCCCGAAGAAGTTCGTGTTGTCGAAACTGTATCTGAAGATGGAACTCCCAAGAAAAAGAAGATCCGCACACGTGTCATTAAGAAGGTCAAGGGTGACAAACAAGAGGTTACCAAGATCGAAACTGTGGAGGAGGATGATAAGCCAACTGAAACAGTCGTCACAGTGGAAGAGGGTCCAGTTGAAGAAGAACAACCAGAAGAAGTTAAAGAACTTCCCGAAGAAGTTCGTGTGGTCGAAACTGTATCTGAAGATGGAACTCCCAAGAAAAAGAAGATCCGCACACGTGTCATTAAAAAGGTCAAGGGTGACAAACAAGAGGTTACCAAGATCGAAACTGTGGAGGAGGATGACAAGCCAACTGAAACAGTAGTCACAGTGGAAGAGGGTCCAGTTGAAGAAGAACAACCAGAAGAAGTTAAGGAACTGCCCGAAGAAGTTCGTGTTGTCGAAACTGTATCTGAAGATGGAACTCCCAAGAAGAAGAAGATCCGCACACGTGTCATTAAGAAGGTCAAGGGTGACAAACAAGAGGTTACCAAGATCGAAACTGTGGAGGAGGATGACAAGCCAACTGAAACAGTCGTCACAGTGGAAGAGGGTCCAGTTGAAGAAGAACAACCAGAAGAAGTTAAAGAACTTCCCGAAGAAGTTAAAGAACTTCCCGAAGAAGTTAAAGAACTTCCCGAAGAAGTTCGTGTGGTCGAAACTGTATCTGAAGATGGAACTCCCAAGAAAAAGAAGATCCGCACGCGTGTCATTAAAAAGGTCAAGGGTGACAAACAAGAGGTTACCAAGATCGAAACTGTGGAAGAGGATGACAAGCCAACTGAAACAGTAGTCACAGTGGAAGAGGGTCCAGTTGAAGAAGAACAACCAGAAGAAGTTAAAGAACTGCCCGAAGAAGTTCGTGTTGTCGAAACTGTATCTGAAGATGGAAAGCCCAAGAAAAAGAAGATCCGCACGCGTGTCATTAAAAAGGTCAAGGGTGACAAACAAGAGGTTACCAAGATCGAAACTGTGGAAGAGGATGACAAGCCAACTGAAACAGTAGTCACAGTGGAAGAGGGTCCAGTTGAAGAAGAAAAACCAGAAGAAGTTAAAGAACTGCCCGAAGAAGTTCGTGTTGTCGAAACTGTATCTGAAGATGGAACTCCTAAGAAAAAGAAGATCCGCACACGTGTCATTAAGAAGGTCAAGGGTGACAAACAAGAAGTTACCAAGATCGAAACTGTGGAGGAGGATGACAAAGAACCGGTTGTGACTGTGACTGTGGATAATTCCGATATTAAAAGCGCTTTCGGTAAATTAAAGAAAAGGGTCATTGTAAGGAAACCTGAGGAGGATGAGTCTATAGTGGAACTACCTGAACGAAAGTCTGTTATAATTTCTGAGAAAGAAGATGGAACCCCGACAAAGACTGTAATTAAAACTAAAATAATTAAAAAGGTTCGTGGACCGAATATGGAAGTTACTAAGGTTCAAACTGTTGAGGAATATGAAAAGGAACCAATAACAACAGTTACAGTGGAGAAATTTGAAGCACCTTTTCCAGAACTTCCTGAAGAGAAGGTTTCAGAAGTTGTGGTCTTGCCAGATGAAATTGTCGACATAAAAACGATTGATTGTGATGGAAAACAAAAACAAAGAACAACGAAGAAACGAATTATAAAGAAACCAAAGAACGATGAGAAAGAGGAAGTAACAGAAATTGAAATAGTGGAAGAAGATGATACAGAACCAACTTATTCCGTGACTGTTAAGGAGTTGCCCATTACGACACATGCATTTACTGACACCCCTAATACGATTGAATTGCCTGCTCAAATATCTGAACTTGAAGTTACATCACCGGATGGAAAATCAAAGAAAAAGACTATTAAAACTCGATCATTTAAGAAGAATCTTGATGAAAAACTTGATGAAGTGACAACCGTTCACGTTATAGAAGAGGATGATAAGGAGCCATTAACCAGTGTGCAATTCGAAATAGTCCCAGTCGACGAACTGTCAACAACTCCAATACCCATCGAAGAGCTGCCTGAAGAAATAACTTTCACCGAAGAAATCGACGACAGCAAAAAACCTAGGAAAAAGACAACAAAAACCCGAACATTTAAAAAGCAGGGTCCAAAAGAAGATGAATATTATCAAATTCAAACTGTTGAGGAAGAAGGCAAAGAATCATATTCGCTCATACGAGTTGTTAGTGATGAAAACATAGCTGACATTATTGACATTAGTAAGCTTGACGATGAAAATGTTTCCAAACACACACAAAAGCCACACAAACAGAAGGGTAAGAACACAAATCACCACACTAATCATACAAATTATTATATAAACAAAATATTTAAGTATACGCCTAACTTTGAAGCATAGTACATCCTAGAAACTTTTATTATTGCCTACACATTTGCTTATAGTAAAAAAAATACAGAAAACAAATGGGTGAAAAATGAGATTATGTTAAGAAGGCATTGAGGTTTTTAAATACTTTTCCAATGTAGATGCTAATAAATTTTTTCCCATAATTTTACAATAACCACAACACGAAACCAACAAACACAGTGGAGAAACCAAAGAAAGAACACACTGAAACGGAACACCCAGTTTACATTACAACATTCAAATCCGTACAAAATGAAGACGGCGAGACAACCATAGAGACTGAAAATAAAAAAGTTTCTAAAGAGGAAGGACTCGTTATTGAGGAAGTTCTCAGTGATAATGATTCCATTAAAGAAGACACTATACATTCAAACGTTGAAATTGTTGAAGTCAACGAACCCACAGGTGATTTTTTTCAAATGCTTTTATACAATAATATATATAAACATACATATACTATACACGCACACTTTTTTATACGGTTAGTGTAAGTGATATAGAACCGTGCAGACAGAGCAACCGTAAATTAATTTAAATATTTAAAAAGTTACACAAAATTGCCTTTTCATTTATAGTAACTTAAACTGAAATCAAAATGTTCAACAGACTATAGTATATCAGAGTAGTTTAAAGTTAACTAACAGAATCATATGATTACACCCATATACATTCTTTGTATCCATAAATATACAATTTTTTAATAATTACTAACTATGTTTTCTGACACACACACACACATATATGTATGTATGTATGTATATGTACGTTTTTTGAAGCTCAAAAAGAGCCAATACGTACACCGTAAAAAGAGATATTGACAAAATATCTTATTAAATTTGCAACCAATATAAGCACATAGCTTTACGCAAAGTATATGTGTTTTAAAGCATTATATAAAATGCAAATATAATCATAACAAATTAGTTTAGTGCTAACACAAAAACACATAATTTTTTCTTAAACAGACCAATACAACAAAGAGTACACAATCATTGAACCTGATGATGTGAGCGCGGACAAAATACAGACATCGGTTAAAGACAAAAAACACAAACGTAAAAAGACTCCATCTGAACAGATCGACGATACGGTAATTGAATTAGAAATAGAAGAAAGCGACGTTTTAGAAGCACCAATAGACAAGAGTATAAAAACACGTCAGCCTAAAAAAGCTGATAAAAAAGAATTGGTCGAGACATTAGACATAGACGACGTTGAGGAGAGCAGTACAGTTGAAAAGAAACCAACGGAGAAAAAAGAAAAGCCTAAGAAAAAGAAAGTCATTAAGTCAAAGCACGATGAATTGGATGAATATATTCAATTTTTAATACACCAAGAAATTCCAAAGACGGTTTTACAAGACTACAAGCGGTCAGACATGCCCATGCCACAAAAAGCCCGCCGCGATTCCTCTATAAAACCAATCAAGCTAACTCCAATGAAAATTGAAAAAATGGAAGCCAAGAAACCAAAGATGGTGGAAATTACGTCTGTTGTAGAGCATCCGCAAATTTTGAAATTGAAAACGCCTAAGCAGCGACCGAAAGAGGATATAAAGAAAAAAGAAGAAGCTGCTTTTAAAAATAAAAAACTAAAGAGTTGGATCAATTTCATACCATTTGCACCGTATTGCTTCCCATATACAGTTACTGAGATAACAACACATCAAGGTAATGGAGAGCTTTCACGCAACATAGAAGAAGCTGAAGAGGTATTGAAAAAGAAACCAAGGAAATTTAAGCACATTAAGAAAGAGAAAGGCGATTTGGAATCACCGGACCTAGAACCGTTTGACGATGAAAAAATCTTATTACAGGATGAGGAAAAACCGACGACTAAATATAAACGGGCTGAGAAAAAGCCAAAGGAAACTACCACAGAGATCAAAAAATTAAAAATTGGCAAGGGTAAAGTTCCTGAAAGTGTTGATGTAGTTGAAGAGGTACAGTTGAAGCCTGTTACATTCAGTAGCGAAGATGAAGGTGTAGATGATCAAGCAATAGAACCAAAATCAGAAAAAAGTGTTAAGAAAAAGAAAATTAAAAAACCAAAAGTAGTTGATTCAAATATTTCCTTTGAATCATTTGAACTCGATGATGTAGAAACCAAACCGGAAGAGCTAGATGATTTTAGTGTGGGGGAAGTACCTGAAGAGAATTTACCTTCTGACAAGCCACGATACAAAAGAAAGAAAAAATTAGCTCCTTCACCAGATACTAATGAATATGATATAGTACCAGGAAAGCCCGCAGAGTCAGATGATTTACCAGAGGATACCATTAATTTGAAAAAGAAACAAGGAGATCTTCCTGATGAAGAAGATGATAAATTAAAATTAAAACCGTTCCATAAATTTGAGTTAGTTGAACTTGAACCTGAAATTATTTATGAAGAAAAACCTGATGAAAGTGGCGTTCCTAAAAAAGAAGTGAAAAAGAAGAGAAAACTCAAACTTAAAACTCCAGTGGAAGAGAATACAATTGATATCTTAGAAGTTTCGGGAGATGACGACGAAAACAAAGTCTACGAGGTAACAATAAGTAGCTCTGAAATTCCTGAAAATAATAAACCAAGTAATATTTTGAAGAAGAAAAAGAAAGTTAAAATACTTAAAAAACATGAATTGGACGAATTTATTGCTGATATGCGGGAGCAACCGAATGAGAAATTCTATGAAACAAGTATTGAAGATTTCTATGAAGTTAAATTAACTGAGCTGGAGCCAGAGATAGTACATTTGGAGAAAACCAATGATGAAGGTGATTCTGTAGCTCAGATAGTCAAAAAGCGTAAAATACTACATAAGAAGGGCCATGCTGAAGAAGTCCTGGAGGTTATTGAAACAGTTCCTTCTGAGGGCGAGGAGCCATTGTATGAAGTAACGATTGTGTCTAGTGAAACATTAGAAAAAGAAAACTTACCAAATGCTCCTGAGAAACCCAAGAGGAAATCTAAAAAAATGAAAAAGGATGAATTAGACGACTATATACAAAAGCTTATAAATGCAGAGATAACAAAAACAGAATTAGAAAAATACGAAAAAATAGACGTTGATGGTAAGCCAAAAAAACCAAAGAAGAAACAAACAAAACCTAAAAAATCTTCTGTCGATGAAGGCGAATCTTTAGAAGTTGGAATCACAGAACATGAGCCAGAAAAGAAACCCAAGGTTAAAAAGCCCAAATTAAAACCAATTACTAAAGAGGACGAAGTAACTGAAACGGAGAACATACCGGAACCCGATGAGTTTTTAGTTAAAACAACTGAAGAAGAACCGGTTGTGAACAAAGTACAACCCAAGGAAGATGAACAAATCACACCCGAATTGGATGAAATAATTGCGGATGTAAGTGAAATATTACCTTTACTTGTCGTGGATGATGTTACTGAAAAATCTCCTGAGCTAGTCGAAGACATTTTGACTATAGAAAAAACATTAAAGAAACAACGTAAGCTAAAAGCAAAAAGAGGATCCAAGCAGTATGAAATTCAAATAGTAGAAACTCAAAAGCCTAACATGGAGGAGGAAGCAGAGGTAACAATTATAACAACGGACCTAATAGAAGATACAACTGAACCAGAAAATATTGTAAAAGCCGATAAAGTGAAGAAAATAGTAAAGAAAGTGAAAAAGGACAAACTCAAGGACTACATTATAAGCATTGTTGAAGAAACGCCTATTGAGTATGATTCTCAATTAATCGAAAGTTTATCTCCAGTTCCTGTTGAATACGTTTCAAAAGATGACGAAATCTTATCATTCAGAACTACAGTTATTGACGATATTTCTGACATAACTGTACAAGATGAAAACGTTGTGGAGACTATACCCACCTTGACAGAAGATAAAAAGAAGAAACCTATTAAACAGAAGAAAATTAAAGTTGTTGAGCATCAGCCAATAGAGACGGATGAAAATTTAAATAAAACGGAACCTTTAGAAGAAAAAGAAGTAGAATTGGAATCACCAGTTGCTGAAGATTTTACCTTTAAAACCACCGATGAGATTCCTAAAAAGAAACAGAAGTCCAGTAAAAAGCGGAAGGATGACACTATTTCTACTCCCGTTTCAGAATATACAATTCGCATTGAAGAACTAGCACCAGAAACTATATCAGAAAAAGTAACTAACGAAATAGGAGAGGAAGTGGAACGTGTTACGTCTAAGAGAAGAATTAAGAAAAAAGATGGAAACAAGGAGTACATGATCGAGGTTATCGAGACATATGAGGAAAATAAACCGGATTCAGAAGTTGTAGTTATCACTACAGAAGTTTCTCCGGAAAATCAAAAACCTCTTGAAGATTTTAAGCCAAAAGTTGTGAAAAAGAAAAAGCCGAAGACTGAAAACTTCGACAACTATGTTCATGAGTTGATAGAACAGGACCTTCTACAGATAACGCCTGCTGAAAAGGAACCAACTACATTAGATTCCAGTTCCGTTACTGACAAACCGAAAAGATACAAAAAACACCAAAAGAAAACTACTGAGCTTGTTGATGGGGTTCCAACCACCGTATATGAATTCAGAGTACAAGAGTTCGAGCCAGAAGAAGAAGAGTATGAACCATTGCCTACTGATGTTATTAATTCTGAGGAAAAACCTAAGCCGAAAACGAAAGAACGCAAAAAACCGAAGGTAGATAAAACGGAAATACCAGTCACTATTGAAGACATTGGAGAAGTTGTAGAAATCACTGAACAGATTGAGGAAAATGGTATACCAAAGCAGGTTCAAGTGAAAAAACGAAAGATTGCTCGTAAGCAAGGACCAAAGGAACAAGTATTTGAAGTAACTGAGATAACTGAGTTAACATCCGATGAACCTTTTAGCGAAGTTACAATAAGAGAAGTTTCGGAAGAACCTGAAATAGAAGTCCCAGAACTTGTCAAAAAGAAAAAACCAATAAGGAAGCCAACGAAGTTAAAATCTGAAGATGTAAAGAATTATATATTTAACATAATTGAAGAATTTAATGAGCCTACTACGTTTGAAGACGTAACTGATAGGTTAGAAGAACCATTGAAGGAAGATGCAGAGGTGATCGACGACTTTGTCACAGATCTGATTGAAGATTCTGTTGAAAGAAAACCGAAAGACAAAAAGCCAGCGAAAACTAGCAAAAAGCAAAAGAAAGAAAAAATTCGCATAGAGGAGCTTGCACCTGAAACAATTATTGAGGATGCAGTTAATGATCTTGGCGAAGAAGTTAAACAAGTTAAAACTACAAAGAAATTGAGGAAGAAGGAAGGTCCCAGAGAATATATAATTCAAATAACTGAAACATATAAAGAAAACGAACCCGAAGCAGATATAGAATTCACAACAATCGAATTGCCGTCTGAAGAAGATAAAAAGGACGACATCGAACAACCAATTAAAGTTGTGCAAAAGGTGAAAAAGAAGAAACCCGTTAAGGATGATCTGGACAAATACATACAAGAACTAATTGAGCAAGAAATAACAAAAGCTGATCTCGAGCAATATGAACCAACCCTCTTCGAAGGTAAACCAAAGCAGCCAAAGAAAAAAGTTAAAACACATCACAAGAAAACTGTTGAAATAGTGGATGACCTTCCTGTTACCATACATGAGTTTGATGTTGAAGAAATAGAGCCTGAAACATCTGATAAAGAAGAAGAACACGTTTTGTCGGAAGAAATAATGCCTCTTCAGCCAGAGGAACATAACAAATATTTGGTAAACATCACTGATGAAGTTGTAGAAACTACTGATTTAGTTGAACCTTCTTCTGAGGAACAGCCCATCAAGAGAAAGAAACCGAAAAAAGAGAAAAAATTGGAGGAACTACCTTCAACCTTGCATGCAATATCAGAGATTATCGAAACTATTCAAGAACCCACCCAAGAAGGCACTATTGAAAAAACTGTAAAGAAACGTAAAGTCATGCATAAAAAAGGACCTCAAACAAATATATTTGAGATAACGGAAACAACATCCGAGGACCAGCCAATTGCAGAAATTACAGTTGTTGAAATAACAGACTATCAACCAGAAACATCTGAACAATCTTCGCCAGAGAAAAAAATAAAAAGGATTAAAAAACCAAAAGAAATTAAGAAGGACGACATAGAACAGTATGTAATGAACGTAATTGAAGAATTTGTTGAACATGCTGATGTTGACGTCGTTGAAGAAAGCTCTAATGTTAAGGAAGAAGAAATCAAAAAGCCATCTAAGCCTAAAAAACACAAAGTGGTAGTACATGAGGACAACGAATATCAAGAGCCGGAAAGCGAAGACGTAGTCGAACCTATTAAAGAAACGGAAACACTTTCAGGCGAGCCGAAAGAAAGTGAACAATTTACTGTTGATATTAGAGAGGACACTGAAAAACCACAAAAGTCACCCAAATCAAAAAAATTGCCTAAATCCAAAGTATTGCAGAAACCTACGGAAGATGAAAGTGAGGAATTTTTGATAAAGGTGTCATCTTTAGAAGAAATTCCAACAGAAGAGACAGACATTGAAGCAGTTGTAGATATAGAGGAAGTTAGCCCTACTGATGATCTTGAATTCAAAATAGAAGAGATTGAAACAAAAGAAGAAGAAAAAGACATAATAGACGAGAAGGGTGAAAAGGTAAAACAAACAGTAACTAAGCGTAAAATCAAAAAGCAAATTGGACCTAAAGAGGAAATCATAGAAATTATTGAAACTAAAACTGGTGACTCGCCAGAATATGAAATTGTTGTGACCACTGAGGAAGCACCCAAAGTAGATGAAGAAGTTCCAGAGATTTCAAAACCAAAGAAAGTAAAGAAAACTAAAAAGGTACCAAAAGATGACCTTCACGATTATATTCAGAAACTAATTGAACAGGATATACCAAAAACAGAGCTTGAAAAATACGAAAAAATCGACTTGGACGAACCAATAAAAATTAAAAAGAAGAAACCAGTAAAGAAAGTTCGCATTTCTGAAGATCAACCAGATAGTACTCCAGAAGAAGAAATTATAGAAAAGCCGGAAGAGGAAACTCAACCTATTGATAGTGTGGTAGATTCAGAAAAACCTTTAGTTGTTACAGTAAAGGACTTCTTGCCCTCTCCAAAACCAGATGAGCAATTTGTAATAAGTGTGGTAGAAGAAACAATTGAAACGAAGCAACTTCCGGATGATGAAGGCATCATTAAAGAAAAAGTAATAAAAACTAAGAAAATTAAGCAGAAAAAGGGTCCCGAAGAAATCATTCATGAGATTACTGAAGTAATTGATAAGGATTCAAATGAGTCTGAAGTCACTATAGTAACTACTACTCCAACTGAAGAAACCAATGAAGAACAAGTGCCAATAAAACAAAAACGAACCAAAAAGATCAAAAAGAATGAAGTGGAAAGCTTTATAAAAGAAGTTATTGAAGAGCCTACTGCAGATGTTCAAGAACAGCATGACGTCGCTATCGTGGATAAATCACCAAAAAGACAAAACAAGAGAAAACCAAAGACATTAAAAAAGACCGAAGAAGAGGCTTCAGCTGATCAGACTCCAGAAGATTATCAGGCAATTGTAACCGAAAGTGAAACAGAAAATGTACCAATCGAAGAAGACGCCATAACCATCGAAACTGAAACACCATTAGTGGAAGATGAAGAGCATAAAATTGAAATTGTTGAGAAAGTTAAAAAACCGAAAGAAAAGAAAAAACCAGAAAAGGAAAAAGTTAAGATATCCGAAAATGAACCTCAGGAAAATATTCCTAGTGAAGATATGGAAGTAAAACAAACTGAAAGTGATGTATATCAGCCCGACACTGAAGAGTTCACAGTTGATCTTAACCAAGAAGAGCCTAAACCTAAAGTAGAAGTGAAAAAATCTCCAAAGAAAGTCAAACAAAAACCAGATCAAATAACTGAGCCCACATACGAAGTTTCTGTAGAAGAAACTGTCGTGCAACCTGAAGAGCCAAAGCCTTTTGAGATTCAGGTTATTGAAAGTGAAACTAAAGTGGAAGAAAGTAGAGATGACACGGGAGAAGTCCATAAACAAATAACAACAAAACGTAAAATAAAACGTCCCCAGGGTTCATCTGAAAACATTATTGAAATAATTGAAGTAGTAAAGGATGACCAGCCTGATGCCGAAATCACAATTGTCGAGTATGAACCTGAACCCACACAGCCCGATGAAAAACCAAAAGAACCTAAAAAGAAAGTTAAAAAAGTTAAAAAGGATGATATTCATGACTATATTCAAAAACTGATCGATTTGGAAACCCCTAAAACGGAACTTGAAAAATATGAGAAAATTGAGTTCGAGCCAACGCCTAAGGATAAGCCTACATCTAAAGTAATTGACATTTCAGAGGAAACACCTCTGGAAAAACCGAAAAAGAAAAAGGCTCCAAAGGAACAAGAATCGCCAAAAGAAGATGTTCAACAAGAAGAACCAGAAGCAAAAATACAAGTAGTAGAAGAGTATACGCAACCAGAAGTACCCATTGGAGAAGTAGAAGTTGTAGAAGTAAAACCAGAGGAAGTTATAATTCAAGAAACAATATCTGAAGAAGGTAAGCCAGTTAAAGAAAAAACTACTAAGCGAGTTATGAAAAAGAAGGGACCTAAGGAAGAAACTACTTTTGAAATAACAATGATTGAAAGCGACGATAAAGATACAGTGACAGTTATATTAAGTGAAGAGCCAATAACCACACCTATCTCAACAATTGAAACTCAGCCCAAAGAAGCTGAAGACACTAAACCAAAACCTGTTAAGCCAAAGAAATCAACAAAGAAGGTTAAAAAGGAAGATTTGGATGAATATGTCAAAAAACTAATAGAGGAAGAAATACCAAAGGTTGAGCTTGAAAAGTACGAGAAAGTCGATATTCCTCAAAAACCAAAGGAAGAAGCCCCTGAAATTTTACCAGAAGAACTTCCAAAGGACACACCGGAATCAACAAGTATTGACTCAACCAAGCCAAAGAAAATAAAGAAAATAAAAGAAAAGGTAGAAAAACCGGACGAACAACCACAAGACGAACCAACAGTGACTGAGACGGACATTACTGATACTATCGAATCTACACCAATTGCACAAGTCGAGGACACAACCACTGCACATATTACACCAAGCGCACAAGATGATAAACCTACTCAAGATGACACTAGAGAAACAGTTCAAAAAACAGTTAAACATAAGAAAACAAAACCAGACACAGTTGAAACAAGTAAGTTTATAGATGAGAACAAATGGAGCCTAAATATACCGCCGCACACGCTGTGCCTGCACCTTGTCTGTATCTTTCGCCTGTGTTCGTCCCTTCTGAAACCAACGTTGTCTTCCAATTATTGCGCCTTTACCTCTTTACCTCTTTGCCCAATGTTCAGTGCTCACAACTTTGAGTACTTCTGCAGTTTAATTTCTTTTCCATCCAGCCCTAAAACTATTTCTAAAACAAATACCACTTATATATAACACAACTCTTATGCATGCTGTTTTATTAACACATAATTGTTCACTAATATAATTCCTACATAATTTCGAAACATAAATGTTACAAAATTTCTAAACAATATATTTAATTCTAACCTGATACAATAATATGAATATAATTTGTTCCCTAATTTAGACTTTTAGGTTCTAAAAAAAAAAAAAAAAAAAGAAAAAAAAAATTCTGAGCTGCTGTAAATATTTAGCTTTAAACTATGTATGTCTTCTACCAAGTTGTACAATTGCTTCTTCTGCGAAAGCAACGCACAGAGCCATAGGATATGATTTTCCGTGTATTTTTCCTGCTGAATTATATATTTTTCTAACAGGTGAAGTACCAGAGGTTCACAAGGATTATCATATAAGCGTAATTGAAGAACACCCCATTGAAGAAGAAGAGCAGCCAGACAAAATTTTAGAAGTGAAGGTGATCGACGTAGAGCCCGAAATCCAAGAGTCGCAGCCCATTGTGGAAGAAATTGAAGAAGAAGATGAGATAGCACCTGACCAGATTGTAGAGGATACAACAAAGCCGAAAAAGAAGAAGAAAATAGTGAAAAAGAAGACTGATGAGCATGATGAAATTATACAAAAATTATTGGCACAAGAAATTGAAAAAACCGAGTTAGAAAAATATGAGAAACTTGATTTTGAAATACCCAAAAAGGTCAAGCCCGAGTTTGAAAACCTTGAGCCAATAAAAATTGTACGAAAAGATCAAAAACCAACTAAAGTGACAATTGTTGAGGCTGCGGAAGCACCTCAGGTGGTTAAACTAAAACCATCGAAACGTAAGGAAAAACCGGTTGAAGAACAAAGTGGACAGCTACCCAAGTTTAAGCTGAAGGCTCGCATGGTTATGGTTGAATATCCTCCAGAACTTTTAGTACCTAAAGTTACTCATATAGGTGCTGTTAAAGAAAATGGTGAACTCTCCCGTAATATAGAGGAAGCGGAGGAAATTCTTAAGTTCAAGCCGCGCAAGGTAAAGAAATTGAAGAAAATTAAAGATGACTTGGAGAAAGTGGAGCTTGAAAAGTATGAGAAGTATATAAGCAGCGAAGAGGAGCCTGAGGAAAAAACACCATACCAAAAGCCCGAAAAGAAGCCAAAACCAGAAGATAAGCCTGAAGAAGCCAAAATAAAGCTTGGAAAAGGTAAGAAAAAGCCAAAAGAAGAAGAGGAACCTGAAAATGTGACACTTAAAAAGATACCTGAAAAGCCCAAATCATCTGAAGAAGATGTTGATAAATCACTAAAGCCAAAAGAAGTTGTTGTTATCGAAGAAAAGCCCAAAGAGCCGAAAACACAAGAGATAGACGTGGAACCATTTGAACCAACTGATTTCGAGCATCCAGAATATCCACAAGAAGAGCTTGAGCCGTTAGAACACCCAACAAAACCGGAAAAACCAAAGAAGACTACTAAAACCAAATATAAGCCAAAAGAGAAATCCAAGCCTGATCAGGACACAATAATATCAGAGATTGTGCCCGGAGTTCCTAAAGAACAAGAGGATGTACCTGAGAAAGAAGTTAAGTTCCGTATACCTGAAAGTGAAGCTCCAGAAGAAACTGACTCTGAGGTTAAATTGAAACCGTTCCAAAAACCTGAGCCGGAAATAATATCTGAAGATACAGCAGCCCAACCAGAGACAGAGGACTCTCAGCCGAAAGAACAAGTCACAAAGCCTGAAGACGATATACAAAAACCAAAGAAAACAAAGGCTAAGAAGAAGCAACCGAAAGAAGAAGAAGAGACTCCCGAAGAGCAACCAAGCAAGGAATTTGAAGTTTCTATCAGCGAAGAGCAGGTTATACAAGAAAAGCCGCTTGAAGAAAAACCTAAAGAAGTTAAAGTGAAGCAAAAGAAACCAAAAGAACTCCCTGTGTCGCAAGTAGAAGTCGTTGAGGAAGTGCCACAGCCTGAACAAACTCCCGAAGATATTCCCGTTGAGTACAAGATTACTACAACAGTTATAGAGCCCGAAGAGGCACCTAAAGAGCATCAAGTCAAAGTCATTGATTTTGATGAAAGGGAAGTAACAACTGCGGAGGTTGTAGAAGAAAAAGTGGTTACCCGAAAGAAAAAACCAAAACCAGAGCCAGAGCCACAGGAAGAATATGAAGTTACTCTAAAACAACCGAGAGAGGAACAAGATGAACCAGAGGAAGTCAATGCAGAAATTGTGTTACCTAGCGAAAAGCCAGAAGAAAAAGAACCTGAACAATACGAGGTAGAATTGAAGCTAACTGAGCCACAGATAAGTGAAGTTGTTGGTGAAGAAATTGTCGTAAAAGAGAAAACAAAGAAGAAACCCTCGAAAGATAAGGTAAAACAAATTGTTGTGGAAGAAGAAAAAGTGCAGCCACGTGAAGAAGTAGAGGAGAAGGTGGAACCAAAACCAGAAGAAAAAATTGTGGATCACAAAGCTTACGAAATAAACATTACAGAGACTGAAGCAGAAAAGGAACAACCTATTGAAGTCATCGAAGAGACTGCTGAGGTTACTAAAGAAGAACCTGTAGAAGATATAGTTCCTCAATTCGATTCTTATGAAGTTATCCTTACCGAATCCGAAGCCGAAAAAGTACGTGAAGTAGAAAAGGAACAACCTGAGGAATCACCTGAAGAAGTAGAATTTAAACTTAAGCCCAAGGAAACTGAGTCAATTGAAGTTAAGGTTACGATGACTGAACCAAAAGAAATTGAAGAAACTCATGTAGAAGCCGAAATTAAAAAGAAAAAGACGAAAAAACCAAAGAAAACAGAAGAAGCGGCTGAAGTGGAAGATGAAGTAGTTGAGGAAACAAAGCCTGAAATTGAAGAACAACAAGAAGAACAAATAAAGGAAACACCAAAAGAACTTAAAATTAAAGTAATTGAGTCGGAAGCTCCTATTGTTCCAGTTGATGTAGTCGAAGAAAAGGAACCTGAAATCGAAGAACACAAAGAAGAACCAATAAAAGAAATACCGAAAGATTACACAGTGCGTGTTTCGGAAACCGAAGCCGAAGAAGACGTCCCAGACGAGGCCCAATTTAAATTGAAGAAACCCAAGCCTACTGAAATAACTGCTGAAGAGCCAGAAGCTGAGTTTGTACTCAAAGAAAAACAGCCAACACAAGAAGTTTCTGAAGCCGCCAAAATAAAGACCAAGAAGCCGAAAAAGAAAACTGTCGATGTTCAGTCTGAGGAGCTAAATATACAAGTCGTTGAAGAAATTCCTCAAGAAACTCCTCAAGAAATTATAGAAGAAATTGTAGAGACTGTACCAGAGCTTAAGGAAGATGTACCGGTGATTGAAGAGAAGACTTATAAAATTGGGGTTAAAGAAACACAGCCAGAGGTACAACCTAAAGAAATTGTAGAAGAAATTGTGGAGACTGTACCAGAGATTAAGGAAGATGTACCGGTTATTGAAGAGAAGACTTATAAAATTGGTGTTAAAGAAACACAGCCTGAGGTACAACCTGAAAAAATCGAAGAAGAACAAGTTGAAATACAACCAGTTGAGGAGAAGCCTATTGTACAAGAATTCGAAGAACTCAAAGTAAAAGTAATTGAAGAAATACCCCGTGAAGTCGTCGAGGAAGTTACTGAAGAGGAAGTTAAGATTCAACGTAAGAAGAAGGTTAAGCCTCAAGTAATTGAAGAGCCTGAAGCTGAGATAACACTTCCTGTACAAAAACCTGTGGATGAAGTTGAAGAGTCCCATGACATCATTGTTAAGACCGAAAAGCCAACAGAAGAGCAGGCGGCCGACCTTAAGATTACAATTGTTGAAGAAGTGCCACAAGTTAAGGAAATTATTGAGGAAGTTGAAGAGATCGAAGAAGTAAAAGAAACTAAAGTTGAGGCCATACCAGAGGAGAAACCAGCCGACTTTAAGATTACTCTAAAAGAAACTGAACCTGAAAAACCAACCATCGAAGAGTTGCCAGAAGAACAAGTTACGCTTAAGGCTAAAAAGAAAGTTCCCGAACAAAAAGTGATTGATGAGCCGGAAGTGGAATTCCAAGTTCAGACAAAACAACCAGTTGAAGAAGTTACGGCGGCAACTAAAATTAAGAAGAAGTCGAAGAAACCCATTGAAGAAGCAGCTGCAGAGCTAAAAGTGAAGGTGACTGAAGAAGTTCCAGCAGAAAAACCAGAAGTTCAAATTATCGAGGAAATCGAAGAGATTGAAAAACCGGTGGAACTAATAGAGGAACCTGATAATGCAGCTACATTCAAGTTAAAGAAACCAGAATCTGTAGATGAAGAAGAAGTTGTTGCTGAGGTTTCATTGAAACCAAAGAAACCTAAAGTTGTGGAGGAAGAAGGGGAATCTGTGGACATCAAATTGCCTAAAGAATTAAAGGTAACCGAGGAGACTTCGAATGAAACTGTACAACTAAAGAAAAAGAAGAAGCCACAGAAACCAGTGGAAGAAGCAGCTGACGAGTTGAAATTACAACAAACGGTTGTGGAAGAAAAACCTGTAGAAATTGAGGAAGAGGAAATATTGGAAGAAGCTGTTGTGATACGCAGGAGACCGAAGAAACCATTTGAGCCAACAGTTGAAGACTTAGAAGAAACCGAATTTAGTCTTTCATTAAAGAAACCACACACTATAAACGAAGGCGTAGAAGAGGGGGCGACAATCATTAAAAAGCGTCCAGTAAGGCCAACAACTTTGGATGAAGCTGAAGCAGAACTTTCCATAAAGCGTCAAGAAGAAGAATACGAGGAGGGCGAAGATATAGAAGAATTTGTCATAAGTAAGCGACCAAAAGCAAAACCATTACAAGTAACTGAAGAAGATGACCAAGAATATACAGTGAAGAAGCTCAAACGTCGGAAGAAGGTTGACATTCCTGAATTTTCTGATGTTGAAAATGTAACGTTCCGTCCCAAGACCACAAAGACTAAAGAGGATGTAGATCAAGAGTTCAACATTGCTCTTGATTCTTATGCTGAGGAGGAGGTGTCGATGTCAGGAAAGGTTAAAATAAAGAAGCCAATCAAAAAGACATACTCTGAAGCTACTGATGAGGCCAAGATAAAAATTATACAGGATTATGATGATGGTGAAGGCCCAATAATTGAAGAAATTCGGGACGACAGTAGCATTGAAGATACCATGTACGATGTTGAGGAGCCTGAGGAGTATTTGGTTGAAGAATTGCCGCCTGATGAAGTTGATTTCAAATTGAAGCCTAAAAAACAACCAAAGCCCAGATATTCCATACAAGATGAGGAAGAGGAACAGTTCTTAATTGGCTTGCGTCGTCCCAAGCGTGACTCAGTGACCTACGATGAAGACTCTTTAACCTTTAAGAAGAAACGTAAAGTTGTGCAACAACTCTTCAATGAAGGTATGTATTTGTTTTCAAAATCTATTCAGTATAATATACATCGACAAATATACAAATAAATGCTTGCGCTTATATGATAACAGAGTACAAAGATAAGGTAAAAGTGCCCCTCATCAGTGTTAGTGGCTAACAAGTAACGTGTCATTGCCTTCGAGAGCATAGTAACCACCAATTTACTTTAAAATTATAATTTAATTCTTGAATTAATGAAACCTACACCTTTATTGCAACAGATGGAGCTTCACTTAACATTACAAGGGAAATGAATGTTGAAGGTATGGAAGATCATAACAGATACGAATTGCGCAGAGTTTAATAAATAATGAAATGAAATGTATTTCAGAATCTGATGTCGATAATATTATGTATTCTATCTGCAATTATATTGCCGACAATGATGAGGCCATTAACCTCGTGGAAGGTGAAAAAGTACAAGTTGTTGGACGTCACAGCTCGGAGTGGTGGTATGTTAAAAAGACCATAACAGAAGAGGAAGGTTGGGTTCCAGCCCAATATCTAATGGAGCCAGCAGAATACGCGCAATACGTTCAGAAGAAGTTGCATGAGAAAATTGACAAGCTGCCTGTATTTGAACGTAAGATCAAGTTTATTGTATTTAATTACTTTTTGTTGCTAACCCATTACATACTCGTACATACATATGTCCTGTCATGTTCATAACAATTTTTTTTATGTTTTGATGTGTTTGTGCGTGTAAAGGACCTGGACCTGATGAGAAACCTTTGGCACCACGATTCATTGAAAAACTTCAGCCCATTCACACGCCTGATGGTTACACAGTACAATTTGAATGCAAAGTTGAAGGCGTGCCACGTCCACAAATTGCTTGGTTCCGTGAAACAGCCATCATTAAGCCTTCGCAAGACTTCCAAATGTTCTATGACGAAGATAATGTCGCCACTTTAATTATTCGTGAAGTATTCCCAGAAGATGCTGGAAAATTCACATGCGTCGCCAAGAATGCTGCTGGGTTTACCTCAACTACAACCGAGTTGATTGTGGAGAGTCCGCTATCCGACCACGGATCGGATGCGACGGCATTGTCTCGCAAGAGCATGTCTCGAGAATCATCATTGGCTGATATACTGGAGGGTATACCTCCGACCTTCTCACGAAAACCAAAGGCACAATATGTCGATGAGAACACCAATGTCATATTGGAGTGTCGTCTGGTGGCCGTTCCCGAACCCGATATTGTCTGGACATTCAATGGTGAAGACATAGATGAAGAGGAAATCAAGAATGTGCGCATTGTGACCGAATCTGATATGCATATGTACTGCAGTGTGGTTCATATAACGAAGGTGAAAAAGTCACAAGAAGGCACCTATGAAGTAATTGCGACAAATCGGGAAGGTGAAGCACGTCTGCCAATTACATTGAAGGTGCGAACAAATCAACAGGAAGCACCACAAATACTAGAGCCGTTACGTAATATGGTTATTCGTGAAGGTGAGAGTGTGGTACTTTCAACACAAATTGTTGGAAATCCACCTCCTAAGGTTACATGGTACAAGGACGGCAAGCCAATAAAGAATGCAAAGACTGACAAGGATTTGCACACCCTTACCTTAATAACACCAAAGCGTAGTGAAAAGGGAGAGTACACAGTTAAGGCTGTCAACCCATTGGGCAGTGTAGAAACCTCCGCCAACCTTACGATTGAAGGTATGATTCTTGTTTAGTGTTTAATTTTAACTTCGTGTGTATATAATATTGAGTTTCAATTAATATTTGCTTACTTCTTAAAATATAGAACCCTCTAGTGGAAATGCCGAGCCTCCATTGTTTGTTGAACGATTCGAAGAGCAATCAGTACCACAGAAGGGAGAGATACGTCTTCCAGCAAAGGTTTCCGGCAATCCAGTTCCAGAAGTTCAGTGGCTTTTCAACAACAATCCACTCTACCCAAGCGACCGTGTCCAACAAATTTATGATGGTGAAAATATTGAGTTAATAATTAAAAATGCTAATCCAGAGACAGATTCTGGTGACTATAAATGCATTGCCAGTAATCCTATTGGCAAGACTTCGCACGGCGCCCGTGTGATTGTTGAAGTCGATGAAGTAACCTTTACAAAGAAATTGAAGAAGACGATTACCATTGAAGAAGTACAATCGCTAACACTGGAGTGTGAGACCTCACATGTAGTTACCACAAAATGGTTCTTCAATGGCAAGGAACTGAGCGGCATGGATCATCGCGTTGTTGTTGAGGATGGAAAAACTCATAAGTTGGTTATTAGAAATACAAACTTGCGCGATACCGGTACCTATGTATGCAAGGTTAAGAACCAGGAAACTCAATCAACCGTAGAAGTTCTGCAGCGCAAGCCGGACTTTATTAAAGTACTAGAAGATTACGAGGTGACTGAAAAGGATACAGCTATACTCGATGTCGAGCTAACAACAGAAGCTGCTGAAGTAACCTGGTACAAGGATGGTGAGAAAATCACTCCAGAGAAAAAGAATTGTGAATTTATCAAAGATGGTAAATCACGACGTTTGGTCATACGCGACACCACCATTCACGATGAGGGTGAGTACACGTGTAAGGTGGAAGACCAGGTGTGCAGTGCGGAGCTGGTTGTCATTGAGTTGCCACCAGAGATTGTGAAGCCTTTGGACGATACGTCGGTAACTAAGGGTGAGAACGCCACATTTGAAATAGAGCTAAGCAAGGGCGACGCTCTTGTCAAATGGTTCAAGAACGGCAAGGAGTTGCAGTTTAATGAGCGCGTACAGCTTATCATCGATGGCAAAAAGCAATCACTACGCATAAATAAAGCGAAACCAGACGATGTGGCCGAATATTCCATTCAAGTCGGTGATCAAACATCAAAGGCAAAATTGACAGTTGAAGAGCCTTTGGTTGAGTTTGTCCTACGCTTACCAGACGTTACCATTGCCACAAAGTCAACAGATGCTGAGTTTACTGTAGAGCTGTCACAACCGGATGTTGATGTTACCTGGTACAAGAAGGGTAAGCCCATCAAACCAAACAAAAAGCATGAGGTGTTTGTAGAGGGCACTGTCAGACGCTTGGTTATACATGATGCCACCGACGACGATGTGGGTGAGGTCAGTTGTGTTGCCGAAAACGTCACTAGCAGCAGCAAGCTGTGCGTTGAAGAGCTTAAGCTGCCACCCGTAATAACATCTGAGAAGGAGCAAACAGTGAAAGTGAAGGAGAACGACGATGCCACCTTCACTGTCCGGTACACAGGTGTGCCAACGCCAGAGGCCCAATGGACAACGCGCAATGTTGTAATACCTAAGTCGAAGCGCACGATTCCAGTCATAGACGAGCAATCCGCCACATTAACCATCAAAAAGGTTGTTGATGATGATGAAGGTGAATACACGGTCAAGCTTGTCAATCCTGTGGGTGAGGCAGAGGCCAGTTTACATTTGGTCATTATGCGTAAGTCTCTTACTCAAATAAATAAAAGATTTCACATTAACCAAGTTTCATTTGCGCCTATAGGTAAGCCCACGGCACCCGGCACGCCTCAACCCTTGGAGGTTATGCACGATTCAATTACCTTATACTGGAAGGCCCCAGAAGATGATGGCAAATCTGAAATTATTGAGTACATTTTGGAATACCATGATGTAAAGGAAGAAAAGTAAGTTGGAACAATGTAAGAACAAAATTATAAGAAACGTTTGTAATAAAATTCTTTCTTAATGCACTATAGATGGACTGAGATTCGTAAGATCAAGGACACCACATACACCGTCAGCAAACTAAAGATCGATACAGAATACGTTTTTCGGGCAATTGCTGTCAATGATATTGGTCCCTCACCGCCTTCGCCAATTTCCCCGCCAATTCGCCTGGTACCAAAGGTAGAAACAGAAGCACCAAGCGTACGCGAGCCACTGCAGGATGTTGCCTCTGAGCTAGACAAAGAGGTCACACTGTCCTGTGTATTCGGAGGCATTCCAGAACCAAAGGTCGTTTGGAAGAGAAATGGCCAGATCTTCGAATCCAGCAGCTTGCGCTATGAGAACCGTGTAGCCAAGTATACTATTGAAAAGACAACCATTGAGACTGAGGCCACATACACATGTGTGGCTACCAATGAGAAGGGTTCCGTTGAGACTTCCTGCAAGTTGACTTTACAACAGAAGCCACACATTGAAATTGAGGACAAATACTTGTCGCAAAAATTGCGTACTGGCGGCACTCTCACCATTCCAGCATTGGTCAAAGGCTATCCCCAACCAACTGTGACCTGGCATAAGGAGACAGTTGAACAAAAGTCGACGAAACAAATCACAATCGAGACTACGGAAACCACTTCAACGTACACTGTGACAAAACTCACTCGCGAACATTCGGGACGGTACAAGATCACAGCCACAAATGAGTCAGGCAGCACATATGTGGAATGCTCTGTTCAGGTAATCGACAAGCCCAGTCGACCTCAATCATTGGAGATCAAGGATGTTAAGAAAGACTCAATTACCTTGGAATGGACACCGCCCATCGATGACGGTGGCATGGACATTAAACAGTACACACTAGAGAAGTGCGATGTTCAGAATAATGTTTGGATGAAGGTGTCCGATTTCAATAAGGACATACACTCGTATTCTGTTCAAAAGCTCTCTATGAATGCACAGTATATGTTCCGAGTTGTAGCCATTAACCCAATTGGTGAATCGGAACCAACTGAGAGTGAGACTGTTACCATAACAAAGAAGTTTGGTACGTATACAAATACAAAGTTTATTTCATTGATTATTTTAATCAATGCATTACCTTATTTTTTTCTTCCAGATAAACCAACTCCACCACGTCCACCCACCGAAGTATCCGGTATGAATGATAGCTCCTTTACACTAGCTTGGGAGCCGTCAGAAAGCGACGGTGGTTCAAAGATCATTGAATACATCGTAGAGATCAGGGAAGAGACTGAGACTGTATATCGCAGCGTGGGTACAACAACGGGCACTGTGACGAACATACATGTCGAAAATGTTATCCGCAACAAGGGCTATCTATTTAGAATATATGCTAGAAATGAGGTTGGTACGAGCGAGGCTTTCGAGACTACGGAGAAGATTGTCGTCGGACGTAAAATAAGTAAGTTATATTCATATTTACATTCACAAAAAAATACGCTAGCTTTTTATAATTTATGCGGCTTTATAAAACTAATCGCAACTAATGCTTTTTATGCGCCTACCCCAATGGCAATGCTTAATTATACCATAAAGAAAGTCCTACTGAAAATATGGGTATGTTGTTTTTATTTAAAAATGGAGGCTTGGTATTAATATGTTTATAAATCTATTAAAATGTAGCTCCGCCATCGCCACCACAAAATCTGAGAGCTCCCGATATTACGAGTCGTAGTGTCACACTCGATTGGGAGGTGCCAGCACGAAATGGTGGCTCAGAAATCACAGGTAAGCTCATATATACATATATTTTAAGACGAGCAGTTGTTAGCAGCACTCTCTCTTTTTAGGCTATTGTGTGGAGAAACGTTCCTCGACATCAACTACTTGGGCAAAGGTCATTACTTTGGATGCTCATCAACTACATTATACCATTGACAATCTGAAGGATAAATGCGAGTACTGGTTCCGCGTCTCTGCTGAGAATGAGGTTGGATTAGGTGCACCAGCCGTAACTGAAAGCATATCGCTTAAGACACACGCAAGTAAGTTCGAGAATCCTTATACATACATTTACATTTCTATACCAAGTATTTTTTGCATGTAAACAAAAATCTTAAAACGAAAATAGTCTTAGCAAAATTCATAGTTTTAAATGCAAAATGTTCTTCAGTTCTACTGCTCTAAAAAAATCATTTTCATGCATAAAACGTGAACTGCTTATTTGTAAGATTTTGTTCTTAAGATAAATATTTGCCAATTTAGGAAAATACTTAATTTTTAGTTTGTCTCAGTGTAGTACATATTATTAAATGATATTTTGTTCTTAGCCGTGCCATCACCACCAACGGCACCACTGGAGGCCCGAGTCATCGCTGCCAATGCTCACGTATTCGAATGGGGTATACCCGAGTCAGATGGAGGTGCGCCTCTGCTCGGCTATCACATTGCCATACGTGACATGAAGAAGTCGATGTGGATCGAGGTTGGTCGTGTGCCTGCCGGCGTGCAGAAATTCCAGATCAGAGACTTGCAAGAGAATCACGAGTACATGATACGCATATTCGCCAAGAATGAAATCGGGTTGAGTGAACCTTTGGAATCGGAGGAGCCCTATAAGATTATGACAGCAGGTACGTTATAAATAATTGTAAACTTATATCCGATGGAAGTTAACTCAAATTATATAATTGATGTGTGCAGGTCATGCCAGTCTGCCGGACGAACCGCGTACAGAAATGAGCACCTGCAATACATCATCCTGGCTGCGAGACCACAACATGGATGCGGATATACACTCATATGCGCGCGGCAAACTGTTGCGACGCGATGAGTACTTCTTCCGCATCTGGGCGAAAATGCCAAAAAAGAAGAAAAACTCTAAGTAGAGAGGCAAAATAATTTGCATAGACACGACGAATGAATTTTAGGCTAGTCTATAACATATATTGCAATTGTATTTAATTTAAAAACGCTCTTGATTTGGTTGCTTTTTGTATTTGTAAAGAGCATGTAATGTTTCAGAATAACAAACACAAATGAAGTGCTCGCCTACAGCGATGCTCGCGTCTCTGGGGTCTTAGGGTGCGAGCGAAGAAAATCTTAGGATACCAGAGGGTGAGCATGGCTGTTTTGGGGGAGCATAACAGAAAAACATTACATAATCTAACGCTCTGTTTATTTTACTTTTTTGTTTGCACAATTTACAATATGATTTTTCTGTTTCTGTTTTTTCCTTATTTTTGTAAGCTGTGATAAATCTATCAATCGAAAGCGTCAAACGAATTGCATAAAATGTACGCGCTCGGTGCGGCGCGGCACGACCTTTGGGCACGGGCAATGGGGGCCAACGCCCCAACTCAATATCCTAGGGAGACAAACAATAACAACAAAATGGTGCAAATCGATATATGAGTTATGGGTCGATGACTTTCATTGCTATTGTCAAGGGTATGTTGCTAGGCGCGAGCTGCAAACATTTATGAGATACTTATATTGTACTACAAGTCTTTAACATAAAACACAAATAAAAATGAATTTTTGAACAAAAAAGTTCCTGTGGCTTTTGTGGCCTGTGTGTGCAAAGTTATTGTAACCAAAATCAACTAATTAATTCATTAGAAGTCCTTGCACTAGACTAGACCGCTCGCCCAAGCGAGAGTTCAACAAGCCCTATAACTTCAACTAAAAGTTTTCCATTAAGTTTTTATTCTAAAACTTAAAGTCCGTAAGCAAACAAAGCGTACGGGCTGGATGCTGCCCTATAGAAATAGCAAAACTAAGACCACATGTCCTTGTCCGGCTGCTCTGTGAACTGCAAAGAGAAGTGGGGGCTACGCATCGTTGAACTTATCTCTGGTGACAAGGCAAATGCTGCATAAACTTTGCGAGAATTGTGTGCGAATTTAATTAAAGTTTTTGCGATATTGCGGCAATTGCAGAGTACAGGAAGACAAAAGGAAAGGCAAAGGCGCTGGCCACACTAATCAAATGATATTATCTCAAATACAGCGAGTTGAAGTAAGTTTAGCCATAATTTAAACTCTCTGTGGGTCAGCGCCATGAGAAGTCCACATATAGTATGTATGTACAATCATACGCATAAAAGTATAGTATATATTGTAAAGTAAACAATACTCGTATTAGAAATATGGCGTAGTTGGGGGATATGTATTGTTGTAAAATTTATAAAAGTTAAGGCTATCAACCAAAACATATTTCCGGCACTTCAAATTGCACAAAATCAACTGATGATTTGCGCTTCATTTGTGCGGCGAAAACTGGCTCACACACACACACACACACAAATACAGACACATGTTACTGATACTGTTGCAAGTTTCCTTTTTAGTGTTGCCACTAAATGATCGACATGTCAGCCAGCAAGTGTCCTGGCACACAAGCGGAAATTTCATTTACTTGTTTGCTTTTTGCTTCATTCGATTTTCCATCGTTTTTCCTTTTTTCCTTAAGTTTGTTTTCATTTACTTGCTTTTTTTCTTTCTTGTGAACCCATAGTCCTACACATATTTTCTTTCTGAAAAAATGCCTTGCTATGCCAACAGCTTAGTTTACTTTTTCGAATTCCGTGTAAGGCCTGACAACAGTCTGACTTAAACTTTAAGTTGCCGCTCTGCCACACCTATCTTTAATACCATCGGTTTCGCTTTATTGATGTCACAGTGGCAGGCGCATAATTCTACTAACAGAATTGAAAACTTGTAATAGAATTGTGTAAGTTCTTCAAATGTATAATACATATATAATAAGCAAACAAATAAAAATCCGAATAAAAGAAAAGTAAATTAGACCAAAAACTTTATGGTGAGCACGTAGAAAATTGAAGCTGCGCTTTTTTCTTTCTTTTGCTAAACAACTGCACAAACAAGGCTCATCAAACGTGCTGCCTAGAAAAGGACACGCACATAGAGTGAAAACTTTGCCTAATTACTTCCCAAAATCATAATGACGACAACAACAACAACACAAATGACAGTCTCTTTGCATTGTCGGGCCTTTGTCGTTTTCGTTTTCGTTCCGTCTTGTTTGTATGAGCAAGAAATTTAATTATTAACTTGTAAATGAATGCAAAAAGCGGCGACATACACACGTACGTTCGTATACGAAAAACATAAACAAGCCACTAAACAAAACATTAAAATAAAACGAGGTTCGCATATAAACATATATAGTATAGCATACTTTTGTGCGCATATTCATTTACAAATGCCGGTGATAAAGATGGGAGGGAACGTGAATGATTAAAAAATACTTGTGAGTATCGTGAGCGTCACGAGTATCGATACAACCGTGAAATTAGTGAAAATGTCACCATTCACGATATAACGAAAATTCAATTTTTAATTTTTTTCTGTTAATTTATTATTTGTACTATATTTTATTAAACAGGTGTACTGTTACCTACTATGGCAGTTTAATCCAGTTGTATATTTAAGGGGAATAAAATAATTAAATTGCAATAGAAATTAAACCAAAATAAGAAATTAAAATTAAATCGTTATCATGTTTAAGGAAAATACGTATTATAGAGTGCAAATATATGCCGACTATAAGATAAGAAGATTGGGCAATCAATTTTGAAACCTTTTTTAAAAATCTGTTAAGTGTTCAATGCCTATTATTAAGAATGATTAAACTTCAAAACCGGAGTAGTGCTTTATTACCTCCATAAAGAATCAAGTAATGTCTAGAGCAAAAACTATTATTCTGCAGTCATTTACAGTTAGATCAGTCTGCAAATACAAGTATATGTAAAAATTTATTTTACCAGTAAATTCGAATTCTATCAAAATCGCTTGCAAAAACTTGCAAATCTGGGCATTCCTAATACTTTGAATAAAATACAACTTTCTTGGAATAAAATACGATGTTAAGAGTAACCCAATATAGATCAATATTTTTTAAATAATTATTTGATAACATTTAAGGAAAATTAATTATAAGACTCGTAATCTTCAGTAATGAGAAAAATAGGCAACATAATTCGCTCGTAAAAGCAAAATAAAAAAACATGTTGTCAACAAAATTATAAGGGAGTTTTGTAATTGGACGTGACTTTAACATCAATTTTTGTCACGCGCCTGACACTGGCCAACAATTTATTTACCTTGTCTACCTTTTTTATCACTGGGCGTACTTACTCACTCGTATGTGGGGGCAGGGTAATAAGGGACGTGTAGAAATGTCATAAAATGTTAATTTCATTCCACGTTACACAAACAGCTACAACTTTTGCACTCAAACATATCTTTAGACATTTGTTCCCAGTATGTGCTCCCCAAATAGCCACTACGATGGGCAAATCTACTACATAATTGCTATAGCAACAGCCCAGTGCGGTCATTAATTACAAAATGCAATGCCAAAGAGCCAACAAGACGACAATTTCAACAGCAAGAACATGTTGTACGAATACGTACATATGGACTTATCCGATATCCGCCACCAGAGCTGCAAAATTCTTTTCTTTTCATTCGCCGCCATTTCCAGCAGCAGCTGAATAAATGAATAAATACAAAAATGTACATATAGATTGCAATATTTAAGACAATCTTTTGCAGTTGCAGCTGAATTTATGCCTTTCTTCCGACTTATTTGCTCATTTCGATATACATATACTTTTTTGCTCCGAAAGTGTTTCGAGTGCATTTATCTCTGCACATTAAAGTAGCTGGCCCCAACCTACCCAGCCAGCGACTGTCGGCACTTTATAGTTTACAATTTAATAGAGACATTTTTGTACAAATTAAGCGCAAATTTCATTGCCCCTGCCATGCTGCACAGTTGGCAAGGCATTTAAAAATCAAGTACGCTGAAAATTAAATTTCACAAAACGGTTTTCATATCCAGCTAAATGGGGCAAGGGGCGGGCACTTTGCCTGCTCTCTGAGCATGCTTCCAATGCAATCTAAAGACTTTTAGTGGCTTCCGCTACAAAAATGTATCAGTGCATGTGTATGCTGTATATGCTTGTGTATGTGTTTGTGTATGTGTGTAGAAGTAACTATGTCGGCAAAAGGCTAAAGCAGCCAAAAACTAATGAAAGTTCTAGTGCCTGCCAACGTTCCCGCTTGCCGCCTGCCTGTCGCATGACACCAGACGATGATGGCAGCATTTCGTTGAGTGTCATGTTCCCGGTTCTCATACACATACACTAACACACACGCATATGCAAACCTACAACAATGAAAGTGTACAAAGTAATTAAAGTCAATTGGCAGTTTACCAAAATTCGCTTTAGGTGGCGTATACGTAATTTTGGTGTTGTATTCATGTATTCTTTCTGCTGCCATTGTTAAAAACTAAAGAAGCATTGACTTCATTTAATTGCCAGCGACCAGATGAAATCAACAAACGCTTTAACGATGCACAATAGTTTTATTCTTTGGGATCAGAGTAATGGATTGTTCGTGTGAAAGAATTTAATGCAAAATGTTGATGGCAAGTAGTTGTTTCTTACAACAGAAGTATATACGAGTATGTCTTAATTTATGAAAATTTATATACAATTTTGGATGTTGTCAAGTTTCTTGTCCAACCAATGACTTTGTAAGCCTTAAATCAAAAGAGACTACTATATCTTGTAGCTGTTATGGAAACGGTTTCTTTATAGTTATTGAAAGCGTGAGGAATTTTCTGCCTTGATCTAAAGTACGAGCAATTATATTGAAGAGGAAATCGCCGCTAAACTATTAAGCCAAAAAGCTTATTTAGTTTTTGTGGTAAATTAAAATACAACATCGCCTTCTATGGCTAAGACGAACTACACACTCCATATTCTCCACTTACTTTCCAACTACCAACTGCCGTCCCCTCCTTACCTATGATGGCAACCAGCCCGTTACAAAGTCTTCTTGAAAATAGCAGTATTCTTTATTTTATATCGTAATTTATTTTATTTAATCTTGTTTCATTAGCAGTATTCCAAACAATTATAGCTTGTAGCACTTTAATGGATTTCTATTCATTAAGCACAGTTACTTTAATCGACAGTTAAGGTTCTAGTATGTGTACTCGTATTATTTTCCCATTTAGTCCCACAATGGTTGTTCATCTAGTCATTGGTGATGAAATGTTTGAATTTGATTTTCTACTTAAAGCAGTCGAATGGCGGTTGTCTGTGGCTTTTTTATTGCTCCTTCAAGCTGACTTTATAATGTGATCATAAAAGTTACACTTATCGCATTACGTTACACACAGTTGGTTTCCATTTCATTTCATTTCTGTATTTGTCGTTTGTTAGGGTACTTAAATAAACCTATTGCAGATAATATTGTAGCCTGGGCAGCCATAAAATGCTGAACTGATAGCCAAAAGCTGCGAAATGTCAGCTATGTAATAACTTTAGCTTACACAGCATTTGCTTAATTTAAAGCGAGTTTTCATTGCTCCCCCTTCCATAAATGCATTTTACCGCTCTTGGCTGACATTCTGCTAAACAGATTTGCACCTTTCGCCTAGAGCACCAAATTTACAAGTTGAGCCGAAAATTGCAAAGCAAATATGCAAATGACAACTGCAATAGAGATACC